TCCTTTTCCATCTATCCTTAAATTATGAATGCCTTGGAGTTGCAATAATAGCACAAAGCATAATATCATATTCCATATAGGCAAAACATGCATAAAAAACCAATTTCATAAATAGGCCACTTTCTATAACTGAAATTTTATAAGGTCCAACTATTTGAAAATTCTGCTTATAGTGAGGACAAAGTAGATCAATGCTTTTTAAGTGGCTACTTGTAAGTGGCATGAATAACTTGTTTAGGATAAGATTTATTTCACTATTTCTTATCTGCACATGTGATTACAGCTGAAGTTCCTATAAAACACTGCTTTTAAACTACTGCAGTTATAAATATATATGAAAGCATACTTATAAAACATATGGCTGGCACATTGACCTGAAAATTTACTGTATCACTTAGTTTCAAAAACATAAAGCACGTGGAAAATTCAGGATATAAGCAATACCAGAAAGCATATGCAGACTCCTAGACTGAATATTGTCCTCCAGAGGATCAATGTCGAAGATGGAGCCAGGATCTGTGCGCCAAACTTTAAGATCTTTTTCCAAAGCACAGAAATTATAAGACAGACAAACAACAAGCATGAAAGGAATGATCTTTAACAATCAGCAATCAATTTTCTTCATCTAGAAATTAACCAAAATATCTAGATATTCACATGAAAATATCAGAAAGCATTAATTTCCTGCTTAAAAGAACTTAGTGCATTTTAAGCTTTGACACTACTTTAAGAAGACTTTTGCTCCCAATTTATTTCCATTTTCTAAACATGACCATAGTATTTTCTTAAGTCTAACTAAATAGAAACAAGTTAAGTATCACATACCAGAGCTCTTTTCCAGTAGCAGAACCAAAAGAATCAGAGCTACAAGGATATTTTCACAGTTCACCAACAGCACCCTTACTCCATGGAGATGCAGCAGTAAATATCTCTAAAACTGCGAGTTGGCAGTTTACAGTTGACAGAGACACTACAGACCCTCCTTTGTATACAGGAGAGATCATGTCAGCCTAACAAGCAGAATCAGAGGCACAGTTCATCTTATCCAAAATAAATTTCTACTAATTGCTCAATTTATATAAATTCAAAAGTATCCATCTTTCTTAATTAATAGAAAAAATGGTCTAAGGTGAGAAATTCAGCTGTAGAAATCTACCTTGCAGACATCTACAGATGGGTAAAATGAAGCCCACTCTTGATCTTAACTAGTAATTTCCTGTCTTCCGAATATCTGTTTCCTGGGACAAAGACTTAGAGTTGATCCATTACCCCACTACTGAAAAGCATTTCTGGAATTCAATGTATGAGTTCAATGACGGTGGTACTCATAAGATCTTCAGGTTTGATTCATATATGCAAGTTATTAAGATCTCGCAAAATCACATCTCAACAGGGTATCGAAAGAAAAAAGAGGCCATAGGAAATAATTAATTTCATATTAGACTTAAAGTTAAAATCACAGCAGAAAAGCATCTAAATATAGATTTAACTACATTTTAATAAAGTTTTAACAAATAATTACAGCATTGTACAACCTAAGAGGAGGCTTATAATAAATGCAGAGGCAGGTACAGTGTAAATTCCTGATCTACTCACATCAATTTAATGTATATAATTCATATGGGCAGAAGTGGGTAGAAAGTCTCTACAGAGGGATCTGGACAGGCTGGATTGATGAGCCAAAGCCAGTGATAAGAGGTTCAACAAGGCCAAGTGCTGGGTCCTGCCCTTGAGTCACAGTATCTCCGTGCAGCGCTACAGGCTGGGGGAAGAGTGGCTGGAAAGCTGCCCAGTGGAAAAAGATCTGGGGGTGCTGGTCAACAGTGGCTGAACATGAGCCAGCAGTGCCCAGGTAGCCAAGAAGGCCAGCGGCATCTCTGTATCAAAAGTAGTGTGGCCAGCAGGACCAGGGCAGTGATTGTCCCTCTGTACTGGGCACTGATGAGGCCACACCTTGAGAACCATGTTCAGTTTTGGGCCCCTCACTACAAGAAGGACATGGAGGTGCAGAGAAGGGCTACAAAGTCAATGAAGGGTCTGGAGCACAATTCTGATGAGAAACAGCTGAGGAAGCTGGGGGTGTTCAACCTAGAGAAACGGAGGCTCAAGGGAGACCTTACCACTCTCTACAACTACCTGAAAGGAGACTGTAGCAAGGTGGGAGTAGGTCGCTTCTCCCATGTAACAAGTGACAGCATGAGAGAAAATGGCCTCAAGTTGTTCCACGGGAGATTTAGACTGGATATTAGAAAAAAATTCTTCACTGAAAGGGTTATCAAGCACAGGAAAAGGCTGCCCAGGGAAGCGGTTGAGTCACCATCCCTGGAGATATTTAAAAATGTGCTGACATGATGCTTGGGAACATGGTTTAGTTGTGGGCTTGGCAGTGCTGGGTTAATTGTTGGAACTGACGATCCTAAAGTTCTTTTCCAATCTAAATGATTCTATGATATCTGCTATTCTAAAATAAAATAATTATTTATCTCTTCACACCAGTTTCAAATAAAACCTTGATGTAAAACACAAAATCAGTCAAAGCACAAATCTAAAAGATCACACCTTTTTACTGGGGTTTTCTTCTTGGGCAGATCTGTCTGAAACATTTACTTAATGCATTTGAAGTAGGAAAAAAATTGTCATTCCAACTTTGTTCTTTTGCTGGTTTGAGTGGTAGCAAGATAAATAATGGGTTGATAGGTAAAGTAGAACTGTGAGGACCCCAAATATGTCATGTTTCAAATGATTAATAGCCTAGATGCAATGGAAAGAACAGACAGAGCTAATAAAATAAATCCCACAGTTTTAGAATACATTCAGTGTATGTACATTATATGTTATCTACTGCAACTCCCATAAGGTGAGGTGTAGTGCTAACTCCTTCCTGCCAAGATGAATTAAAGCCAACACAAAACCTTTTGATAAACTATGTGTTAGTCCTAATGGTGATAAATTACGCAACTACATAAAGCACTGACAGGTATGAGAGGGCTGGGGGAATTGGTGAATGCCCAACTTTTCCTGTTTGCATGCCTTAGTAAGTAAAAAATGTAATAAGTATGGCTTCATGGCAGCACCAGTGCAACAGCCATTGATTTGGATTGATTTGATCCATCTCTGTAACCTGAAATAACATACATAGAATCAGAATCTTGGCAATTTATAACACAAATCAATTTTAACTCCCTGGTTACTTTTGCCATTTTAAAATATCTTTATATTCATGTGAGAATTGTGGATCCTCTATAGTAACAGATCCAAAGCTCAGCTACATCAGTTTATCTTGATGGACTTAGAACAGCTTTAGCATGGTTAAAAACTAGTGCCTATTTGCCGATGCCAAGACATTAACTTCAGCAATCAGGCATTTGAAAAATTGTTACAGCTTCACCAATAATACATTAAAAATCAATCAGAGGTACTCTAGGTACAGAGGTACTAACTAACAGGATGAACAATTATCAGCCAGGAAGAAAACTCACAAGAGTCATCGTTGTGTTTTTCAGTTTGCAGGTTTTTTTGAGCTGCCAAGGACATTCCATAAACAAGGAGCTCACTGCTTCTTTTTAAACAAGTAGATATAATAATTGCAGTTCTCAGAAAAAGCATTAGCTGAAATATCACAGGTTTGTCACAGACTTTTTCCTTTAAATAATTGTACTATTTTTGCTGTTTGGCAGGCATGGGGGATTAAGAATTTCTGTGTGTTTTGATACTGGAGTATTTTAAGGTGATAAATAGTACTAGTATTTCAGTTACAGCTCAAGAATTTATCTCAGGGATGTTCTTAATCCCAATATACTTGTGTTAGCAAGCCTTCAACTGTTGAGCATTGGATTGCACACAATTCTTACACAGGGCTACAGCACACCCGTAATGCAGGATAGAGTAGGAGGTTTGAAGCGTGCACTAAACAGCATATTGCAAACTGCATATTACACTGCAGTTTTGCAGGAGATTTTCTCTCTTTGGCTGCACCACTTCTAGCTATGGGAGAGAGTATTTGGAGACTTTAAGGAAAAGACCAAAAAGCGTTTGCCAGGAATGATATAGCTAACCTTGCTTTAGGCAGGAGGATGGACTATATGACCCGCCAATTAGTCCATTTCACCTGCAGTTTCTCTGGGTTTTGCAAGGTAAAGTCAACTTTGCTGTTATTACTATGTATGAAGGAATTTAGAGTGTTATCTCAGCATGTGTTTTTGTACATAGATCCTCTGGGGTCTACGTGGTTGTAAAGCAAAGAAAAAGAGAAAAGAGACACACTAAAAGAAAAGAAAATGAGGAAAAGAAAGTCAGGTTGCCATTTCCTTTGCCATAGAAGGCCTGCTAACTTTTAATCCATTCCAAATATCCACTTTAATTTTTAAATAGAGTTCATATTCATCATGAATATCCCAAATAACATCTTAATGCAATATCTTGTCTTTACATACAAATCTAATCTGTATTCTACCCTTGAACACCTGATCATATCTTGCACCACCTTTTAAAACATCACTTCTGAACACTGCTTCTTGGCTTACCAGAGACCTAATGAGTTATTGATGAATTACACCCTGAGATATTTTTAAAGCTGTGTGAAATTCTAAAAGAAGAGGTAAATGGATACATACAGCTCTGCAGAAATTATTGACTGACAGAAGGGGAAATTTCAAACAGGCCTGCAACATTTAAACATTGAAATCTTGGAGAATCACTATTTTAATAATATTTCTTCTGTGCAAAATTAAGATTATTACATATATTTTTGCTTTCCTTATAGAGTCAAAATTCAAATTTAAAGTAATAGCAGACTATCCATATTAAAAAAAAATACAGAGCAAATGATAATGTATTTCCCATCCATTCCCATTATTACTTCACTAGAAGCTGACATGGAACCAGTAGTTCAACCACAAGTTTCATGCTGAGAAAAGAGTGAAAAAGAAATCTGGAGAACACAAGCAGAGGCTTTTATCTTCCCTCAGTGCTTTCAATAGCAACACTATTTAACAACTTACCAACAATTATTCCAGGTCTTCTATCCATTTCAACAATATGTGGATGCACACCTTTATATGCTGCATCACTCACAATTTGGGTGTTTTTCCGTACACGCTCTGTTATAGGATCATCTACCACTGGGGTGAAGCCTCTGCCCTTTGTCTTCTCAAAATCTTCATGGTATTTTACCTAGGAAAAAAGAAGAATTACATTTTTCCCTAAGCTGCAATTGACAGCAAATGGTTATTCTATGCAGGAATGTATATGTTTATGAGGCACTTCTATTCTTTAACTTTGCACCATAATAGAATTGGTACACACGAGACAGACTGGATGGCCAGCCAAGTCTTTTCTATCACCCTAACTTGATTTCCTGATATTTTATTATCAATGTTGCTTTTCTTTTCTATTGACACTAAATTAGGCATTAGCTCAAGCTGCAAAGCATCATCTTGCAGTCAGAAGGGACAAAAAACCCCTGCCCTCAGGAGGTCATCTGGTCCATTCCCTTCTTCTCTAAAATAAGATGGTTCTCTACTGATGGAGACAACTACATCTGTCAGTAAAAATGTTCCAGAAGTAGTAGTTCTAAAGAACTCAAACATTTTCATTCACTGAGAATTTTGACTACATGCACAGCTTCATAAGAAAGGTATTTCTTTTCTCTTTTGTTTTATCATATGCCAGCTGGCTTTAAACATAGGTTTTTAGAAAGAACAAGAGCCTGATTTTCAAAGAAAAAAAAATTAAAAACAACGACATTAGAGTAGAAAGCATTACAGCACCAAGTGTTGGAACAAAACCCCTGTATTAGTAAGAGTTATAAAGGTAGTATTGCTGATTATGCATACTTACTTTTTAAATAATCTTAATCATCAAAGATTTAAATTGATAAACATTCTCACACAAGCCAATGCACACAAAACAACTCATTCCAAGAACCAAAGTCACGCAGAAACCAGGAACGTGCACAGGCACAAGGTGAAGTGTGTCACCTGATCCAGTGAAATTGTTATGCTCAAATGAGGTGTGTACATTTTTAAGGAAAAAAGAAAAACAAAAGAACAGACATTTAACTGTTAGAAAACTGTTTATTAGTATTTTGAAAATGTTCATTACAGTCATATGCAGTTAGCAAACACTCCCTCTACAGGCATAGGAAGAAAATATTCCTTCCATACTTGAGAGAATTCCATTAGTTACCTATATTAATGGAAGGCAAAATCCAGTGGAAGTAAAGTGCCATTCCTTAGTATGCTCTAGTTATAGGAAGAAAGTACCCTACCATTGAGATGTTGTTTTGAGTTTCTTTGACATGTCTTAGCTCAGGTGTGTCTAGAAGCACACTACGTCTACCTTTCATCTGCCTCTGATCACTGCTGTACTTGACCTGCAAAACACGAACAACAGCACCCGTGAATTTTTTCTTTACAGTAGAAAGGATGGTGAGAATCACACCATGCAATAGTACCCTTTCCAAACTACAATGCTAACAGTTTCTCTCTTTACACTCATTTGCTAGTAGGTTATTTCACAAGGGGGATACAGATGAGCTAGTATATTTGTAAGGTCAAAAGGCACATTTATTCCATCAATCACTTACTCAAAACAAAGTATTTATCCAAAAGCTGAAATTTGTGACTGTTTAAATTACATAAACAAAATAATTAATTCATCAACTGAAAAATAAGACAAATAATAAGAAAACACCACTGTGACTTGGACATCTTTAAAACATATTTGTATGGCTGATGATAAGATACCTTCTTATTTCCCAGACAGACCCAGAGCCTGTCCTCAGTCTGCTTCCAGGATGGGATTACCTGAGAATCCATGCGAATTCAACTCTTACAAGTGGATTAATTCTTTGGAAGCCTTCTTGCTCCTGTTCAATAGCTAGTCTTTATTAGCGGCACAAAAGCAACATGTCTGGGAAAAATCTGAATGTACTGTTTCCAAAAAGAATATTCAGGCTCTGTGTTTTGTGCATCAGTAAGTACAGAACCTCCTGTGTTACATTTCTGCTGTTTGGCTTATTTTGTAGCTTTTTACAGACTAGTAGTTCTAAAATAGTAAAAGTATTTGGTCCTACTTATTGGTTCTGGATTGAGTACTCTTACAGTTTCTCCTAGCTTGTTGAATTCTTCTGCCAATGACCTCTCTTAGCTCCTACATCACATTGTAACCTGTGCATTGAGTGTTAGTAAATATTTTATATTTACCTGTGTATTCACACAGTGTTACTTCTCAAATGTGTTGTGCAAATCTATTTCAACACGCATTTGTGATGAGAGAAACCATGTATTGAAACTGTCTGACTCTCCTTAAGATTACATATTAGCAAAGAGAACATACCTATGAAAATATGACTCTTGTCTGTGTTTCACAGGTCAGTTTGAAGTAATGTACAGCGAAACAAAAATATATGGTACTTCATATTCCTCAAACACTTCTGAATTAAACAGTAAATTTTTTTAGAAAATATATTCAGCTACATATGCTTTTGAATATAAGGCATTTTCTGAACAGAATAATTACAGCCAACATAGCTTGGTTTTCATCATGCTTATTAACATAGAGGAGTATTTATCCCTGTAATGCTTGAGAAACAAACTGAGAGTCACTTGGCAAAAAGCATTTCATTTTCAAAAATTAAAAAATAATTTAAAGTCTAGAATTTTTGTGACGTTTTCCTCTTATTTTTAACTATGCACCTCAAAACTAATTGATTTTGGTAAATATTCATGAGCATTTTCAAAAAGTAGTTAAGATATGTGTAGTTACAATGTTAGATTCTGTTCCTTTGTCCTTAGACAAATCTTCTGACAAATCCAACGTACTTTCCTTTTCACTCCTACACTCAGTTCTAAAGTGTTCACTACTTTTAGTTCTCTTCTGCCACCTTGACACAGTGGTTCTGCATGAAACCTCTTCTGTTTACCATCTGCAACAGCTTTGTTACTGATGCTGTTTCAGTGTTGAGGACACAAACTGTAACAAAACTAGTCTGATCCTTTACTTCACTATGCTGTTTTGACTTCTTCACTGCTCCTTAACAGAATTGTCTCCTGCTTCTTACGCCACTGTAGTGACAAATTTTATTACCATAAAAGCCAAGAAATATATATTATTTTACTCTTTAGTATTTAGCAATGGGATATATTTAGGACTACTCAGCTCTAACAGAGATGGCATGTCACAGAGTGGCATGGATGTTTTCATGCTTTGAATTGCAAAAAAAAACCCAAGAAATTTGCACCAAAGTTAAATTCTTATTTCCTTTGTTCTTTACCGCAATTCACTCCTGCAATCTAGCAATGAAAATTCAATAACAAGAGACAAAGATTCTTGAAAGAATGACTGACCTCTAGTGACTCTCACCTTGAGAACTACTGGCATCAACACAGCCACTTACTATTTTGCAAAAATAATCAGGCAAGTCTGAATATGATGCAGTTAGATTCCTTTGACATGTCAAATGTAAATGGAAAAGCATATCCACATTATATTTCCACAATGACTGAAAATCTAAATGACAAAATGATTCAAACAACTTGCCGAGCTGATGTTATCTTGATTCTTCCTGACTCTCTCTATCTCAGGAGTGACACTTACAGCAGTAGCTTTGCCAGGCTGCTCTCTGTAGTGAACCTATTATTTAACAGAATAAAATGGTACATACTATTTCAGCTAAAGCAATATCTCATTGTTTTACATTAAAATGTATGATATAAAAAGTCATCCAGGAAATAACTGAAAAGCTAAAATGTATTTGAGGTTTATTAAAGTTTATAAAACTTGATTTTTGAAATATAACCTTGATATTTTTTTCTGTATAGGGTGCTTATTAATGTATTTCTGTGGATATATATACACATATGCACACAACATCCTGATGTTTACCAGATTGGTCCTTGGATGTACAGAGACATATCTCATATTTGGAAAGGGGTTAGGCCACAAATAATGAAGTCAAGCAGAGCAACGAAAAACTGAGTTTCAGCAAGGTCCACTGCAAATGTATACTTGTCAAGACTCAGCAACTCCACAAGGTTTCCATCTATGTTCTAAATTTTATACTCTACGTATTCAAAGGTGATTAAACGCAGAGAGTGCAATACATCAGACAACTGCCAACTGAATCCAGTATAAATTGCACCATGCATTTATTTAACTGTACTGTAGGAATATCCCCTTTATCACTTTTTAACAAAACACACTTGTAGCAATGATGCATTAACCAAATGCACACTCAAGGCCGGATCAGCACCTAAAGTGGATAAAAGATAAGATGTGGCATTGATGGACCAATCAGTCTAAGGTTAACCCTGGCCCAAATGCTCGGAAGTCAGATGTAGTAAACTTTTAGTAACAGATTCTGGTAAGAGATTTTTGCCAATCCATATAGTTTTTTGTAAAATTAATGTTTCCATACAACACTTTCTTTTAATAAGCTCTTGAGTTCATGTGATAAGGATAACTGTGCAGATACATTATATTCATAATTCTGCAGTGCTCTGTGGCAGTAATGCATGTATTGCTCAAGCAATACATGTCTTCCAAAACAACACAGTTTTGGTATGTTCACATCAATATATTCCAACTGAAAAATTAATGTCTTGAAAAAATGATGGTAGGCTTTCAAATGGACTAAACTTGCAAACTGACATTTTTAAAGGTAAACTGATTCAAGAATTAATGTTTCCAGAAGTAGCTGAAATTTAAGAATCTTCATTCAAAGCTATTCCAGTAACCTGAAGATAATTTAAACTTTCCATTGAAATTTGCATAAAACAGAAATTGGTGAAAAGTAAATGATGATTTAAGTAGAAAAACTATACAGACTGGCTCGAATCACTTGGGAAAACAGGTTTGTTTGAACAGAATACATTTTAGAAGAGCTAGATCTATAAAAAAAAAAATCCAGGAGTTAACTTAGAGGGACAGAATTCTTGAGAATTGTGACTTAAAATTAATTCCGGTGAATGCAGCAGAAAACACCCCAGGGAAACACTGTAGCTATTTGTAGACCCATTAAATAGGGCTGCTGATGGCAGCTCCCAGTGAGGAGAACAGCTGGTCTCTCAAAGACTCAGTAACAGGGTACAATTTCATCCATATAGGAAGGCAGTAGCACGCTCCAAAAGTCCTTGCCTTCTTCTCTGTGCTCCTGGAAATCATATGACTTTCTAATGGTTATGTCAGCTATTAAATACTAAACTCTTATAGAAAGGTTACTGAAGAACCAGAATGAGATAGGTAAGAGAGCAGAAGTTTGAGTACAACTGTAGCTAATTTTTTATAAAGCAAAGTAAAACAGATCTAGAAACAGACATTGTTAAAAAAAAAAAATTGGTCAAGATTTTTTGTAAATATCCAAAACAGAGAACAACATCTCAAGGATCTCAAAGGATTGCAGCCATTTCTTTAATCAAATATGTGTTGCTTTATGTGCCATTTTCCAAACGAAGCAATGCCTTTTCACAGTTGTTTCCTAAAAGAGGGTTTTCAAGGAATTCCATTACTTGAATTCAAGTAATTCCATTACTTGAATCCCAATACATTATAATACATCATTTTCCCCCTAACTAGAGAAAAGGCAGAATTTCTGCCTCTTCTGGAGGCAGAATTTTGTACTTATCCTATGCATTCAAAAATTATGCAAAGGATTAAACAAGAGCAACTTCCCATGCTGACATTCTCTTGATTCCTCTTGACTCTCTCCATCTCAGGGGTGACACTCACAGGTGTAGCTTTGCAGAGCTGTTCTTTGTATTGAACCTGGCAAACATTTCAGAATATATTACAACAGAGACTTCTGAGTAATAGAAATACAACAGTGTGCTAGACATCATTAAAGAACACACTGCACTGGGATGGAAAATACCATACAATGGATGGAAAATACAAAATAATCGCCCACATCTTTCCACACAATACTTAGTACTCACCCTCTTGCAGTTCTATCTCAAACACAGGCAAGTGATAGGTCAACAGAAATACTTCCCTCTCGTTGTTAATCAAAGTGCAAGGCTAAGAAGTTATCATTTTACCATTAATTAATGAAATTAGACTTTGTGGACAAAGAGGAACTAGCACAAACACCACAGACATATTCACTGAGACACAAACACATTTAATAGAGCAGAGAAAAGTGGGCAAGCAATGAAAATGGGGCACACATTGCTAATATTCTTCTGGTTTTCCTTAACCCTCCTTAGTTCTGGTGGATCAGAAATAGTTGTTGCATGCCGAATTTCTTCCTTATATTTAATCTGCAGAATAGATATTACAAAATATTAGCAATTTAAAGAAGATACAGATAGGCACTAAAACACAACAGTTTATAATCTCTCCCTTACACATACTGCACAGCTAGACCACATCTACAAACACCATTGACCTGAAAAGGAACAGTTATATTTAATTTCTGAAACAGGCTGCTAGGGTCTCTAATACATCTTGTTTGATGCAATGCATAGGAGAGTGCATATAACAAGCCCAGTGTCCTAAAACACAGCAGGAATATTCATCACACGGGATTGTGGCTTTCTTCATGATAATTGGGATGCTGCATATACTGCTTGGAGACTCGCATCACTTTGACAACAACTTGGACTTGCTATTATCTTGCTGTGGAGTCTACCAGTCCATCTCAGAAACCCAGCATTTTCACAAATGTGTTCCTAAAAGGGTGGATGATTGCAAAGTCTCATTCAAGTTCTCTAAAAACACATGCAGATACATAAGTGAGAATATAGATGTTTGGACAGATGATGCCCTTGAAGATGCTGTCATATTTATTGTTGCTTTTGCAACATTTAATTTTCAACTTTCTTCTCCAAGACGTGGTACTTCTGGAGAGTGCCTCATTTCTTAACACAGACAAAACAACTTGTTTTTCTCTAAGCTCATACTTGGAAGCTGCAGCTGCTTTGGCTGAAATTTATAAATAAATAAAACCACACCAGCCCAAAGCACAGACTAGGAATGGAAAATTTCAGTCCAGACAGTTTAGGACTGGCAAAAATACTAAAGCACTGGAAAAAAAGGATCTTTTAATAGAGACTATTAGGTAAGTTTAAGAATTGGCAGTGCTACTAGTCCTTAAAATGCTTCAAAATGTCCATTACTTGAGTTTTAAACAGACCCCAGCTTTGTGTTGTTGACTAACATACCACAGGGGTTTCCTCATGAATTTCACACAAACAAAAACAAAAATAGAATCTTCTCCTGAAAGCCTTCTTCCCAGTGCTGTGTCCAGCCCTCCCTGCCCCTCATTATAAACACAATTTAAAAATTCCTTAGTTATTTGTAGCTTTTCAGTTCAGATTCAGCTACAGTCCATGGGTCTGCTGATTACTTTGAAAGTTCTGTGAGATCTTGACTCCAACTGTTTAGAAGGCTGCTTCTTCCAAACTAATCATCATAACAGGTGAGATGAGGTCAACCTCCTTGGCTGTCACCACCTTGTATTTTAGGATTTGAAAACAGACCATTCTGATCTTTCTCTCCTATATATGTAATCTGGAAAAATCTGATCACTTTCAGAACATGATTCAACGGACTTTTTTGTGTGGTTGGTTGTACAGTGAGTGTTATTTTGGTTTGGTGTTCTGGGGTTTCTTTCACTGCAAATTTTCTTCACATTCTATAGTTTCATTTAGTTCAGAAAATAGTTATAAAGCTGTCCTAAGTTCCTCTGGCTAAATTCAAAGATATATGTAAAATGTTTAAATCTAATGGATTCAAAATTGGTGTAATTTACCCTTCCTTTGGGACATCTGTAAATTACACAATATAATTTCCCTCTTACCACACAATATATAATTTCCCTCTTGCTGACATATAATTTGAAATATTCTTGCACATTGTCTTTAAATTTGGCATTATACACTTTTAATAAATATTATATAAGACTTAAGTAATTTCAAGTACATAACATGTAATAAAACACCTTTGGTAAAACGTTATCTCTACACACAGAACTAGCAAGGTAAAGGCCATGTTACTTCCATTATACTACTACAGCACTAATGCATTTTGTGTTTCTCTTGGTAGGTGTTCAAGTGTGTTCACTAGCATACTGATCAACCTTTCATTTTCCCCTCTTCACCCCTGTTTAGGACTTCTAAAACAGCAAGAACACTGTACACTATTTTTTATTTCACTTTGAAAGGTATTGTGAAAAAACATCAGAGCAAGACCACTCCTAATAAGTACGTGTGTGTGTGTGTGTGTGTGTGTGACTACTCTCAAAATAAATGCCTGTGATAACCGGAAATCAAAAAACAAACAATCAAAGGAGAGAAACAAAATTAAAAAAACATCCTCAAATGACATAAACCAACAGCTTCCCAACCAAAACCACTGCTTCAGGATTTAGGACACATGATAGCTTCCACTGTGACTCACAATGATAAGATGAAGTGTGATGGATGGAGCAGAGAAAAAATCCAAGTAAAATACAAGCTTTTCAAAATTTTACGGAAATTCCCTACCTGACCTTACTTTGGTGGGATATGCAGTGTTTACCAGTGCTCGTTAACCGAGGAAATTCTAGTAGAATTCTAGTGTCCAGAAGCCCTAATTTAGATCTCAACTAATATTTAAACACAACTCACTGTCACATCTCTATATTACTTTCAAACTTTACTCTTAAAAAAAGTCTAATCATCAGAAAAGTCATGTCACAAATATAAAAATGGCCCCAGAGGAGTCCACACCAAATAAAACAAACAAGTGAACAATGCAGTTGAAAGGGTTTTCTTGCTTGGCAGTCATTTTCTGCTTTTTTCCAAGTTTTTACTTATCAGAAGAGAATGTTCCACTTGAAGAAAAAACTCATTTTTATATTTTATTCTTAGTTGCTCATTAAAGTGCCAAAGACATGGGACATCCACAGATAAACAACATCAATTCAAAACCAATCTCATCAGATCCACAAATCAACTTGTCGTCAGCATGTAAAGAGGCACAAACTCTCCACCTTTTCACATAGCTCAAGTTTGGCTATAATTTTCCTCTTCTTGACATGCAAACTGTATCAAGTCCTACATGACACATGCAGACTCCACCAGAATGTTACAGATTTTCTTTTCTGTCGCATAGTATTTTTCTAAATTGCAAATACAACTGCTGTTCAGTCTGTCATATCAGGAGATGCATCTCCTGTTTCTCACCCTTGAAAGACAAAACACTTTCCTCAAATATTTCGTTAAAAGTTTTTCCTATTTTTTATAATGCTTCAATTAGAAACTCTACCTTTGGACATTGAAGAACTACACTAGAGATGAGCTCTATCTCTACTAGAATGGAGCTCTATATCCAAAACCCTATATTCTCTAAAATATATATCTCATTGGAATGAGATGCATAATACGAAAATGTAGAATTTTTAGTAAACAAGATGAAAAAAAAAATTGTCCACCATTTACACACATAAGAATAATTAATGTTAATAGCACTTACCGAACTAATATTCTGTTGATTTTTCTTTACTCTTTCAATCTCTGGAGTCTCTTTTACAGCTGTGCCAGCTCCTACTTCCTTCTTATAAAATACCTTCATTTTCCCAAAAGAAAAAGTAATTATAAGACTGTTAGCAACGCAAGTACAAGTTCTCATAAAAGGGTTGGGCAATTTTCCAAGTTCCAAATTGGTCTGACTATAAATCTTGCTAGGAAAGCAAATACTTTAATTTTTCATAAATCATACCAATTATCAATAACTACAACAACATTGTTTTCAGCTGTAACCCAGATAATATATTCTCATCCTTAGACTGACCTCAGCATTTTTAAGTATTTGTAATGACAGTTTTAAACTTGGAAATAATATTAAAATTTTTATCATAATCTAAAAACTTTAACAAATGTAACTTTTTACTTGAATAATTTCATTAATTTCAATTGAACGTGCATATACATGCAAGATTTGATTTTGTATTTTTAATCTTCAGATCTTAAAATGCTGTGAGAAGTGAACAGATATTACTATTATTTCTAATTTCACAAACTAGAAAATGTTGTCATATTTTTGATAAAATAACCAAAACAACCAGAGCTACAATCCAAGTCACACAATTTTTGACTTGTGGGTTCAAGTCAGAAAGCTGAGGACTGCATCTAAAAACAAAACTCCCTTCTGAAAAGATGCACATGCTGTTCATATAATTCTCCTCTATATTTCAGATACACATGTTGTTTATTTCAATTGTTCCAGCAAAGGATAAAACACAAACTGCATCAGTAAAATCAATCATTCAAAGTTACTGAAAGAGACAGTAAATAACTCCTCCACAGATTCCAAGTGTGGCTATAGTTTAAATAACCATGGAGCACCAGTTCATGCTGCAAAACTCCTAAAGAAGTTTTACTTGAATTTCAGTATTTGGTGTCACAGCTGTTGCCATTCCAGTAAGTGTTTCCAGGCTGGTAGTGTAAAAAACAAGTCTGATCCTGGAGTTCATAAAATAAATCTCTGCCATTTAGTATTTCTACTTTTCTTAAACCAAGATTTATTTAACTTTTCCTATCAATAAACTTTAAACAATAAAAACATCATTCTTGATTCATTTCTCCTACTTTGTGGAAGTCCTCTGTAACCTAGGGTGAATACTACTGCCAAATATTCTGGAGGAGAGTGAATGTCCACAACTAATTTTAAAATATTCAGAAAAACTTTAACAATTTAGAATTTTTTTTACCATGTGACAACAGAGACAGTTTATGAGTAAGAATATGAAAGTTCTTCTGCAACAACATGTCAGGTAGAAAGATTTATGTCATGGACTGAACTTTTCTACCACGTAGGGATTGGTAAAATATGTTGGAGACAGGAATTTTTCTATGAAAGAGATGACTAGGAAGTAAATATCCTGTTGTAAATCATCTGCCAAATGAGCTAGTGAGCTAAAAGCAGCAATGATCTTACCTGCAGAGCTAGTCACTTTTTGTGTCCCTTAAGGCAGGAAAATACTTGAGACAAAATCCAAAAATCAGAAGACTATTGTCATAATTTTTTTTTATATTAAGGCTGCTCCCAGCTATATCTTAACTCAGTAAAAAGTAAACTACCTTTATAATCTAAACTTCATAGAATGATGGAAGATTAAGACATAGAGAAAGAGGAAAAAAAAAGGTAATTCAATCACAGCTATAAACTGCTTTCCTACATTTCAAGGATCCAGTTCAGAAACAGAAAATGGACAATCACAAAATAAAGCAAATACAAATCACCTCGAAGACAAAACATTTTATATTATCTAGTACACTAACAAAGAGGATAATTGTCAGCCTTGGCACTGAAGGCTCAAACTGGCCTTAAAGGTTTGCAAGGGGTTCAGATGTATCAGGAGCTTGTCAAGGCTTAAGTAGTGAAAGGTTATTACATGCCTGGTACCTAACTGTCAGCGAGTCCCCACTGCCAGACCCACTAAGGTCTTCTATTTGAAGACTTCATCAAAAGGCTGGAGCAGGCAGGAAAGCAGATCATAGAGGCTCACTTGGATCCCCTCTGTTACAGGGAGTTTCAGTGCAGCATGTTAGGATGCCAGTGATATAAGAAATGGTGACAATCACCATCACACCATGCAGCAGAGCACCATTCAAAACCAGGAAGCAGCAGATCGCAAGAAACAAGATGGGGTCAGTGGGCCTGTCAAGAGCTTCTATCAGAAAGCAGCCACAGAAATGGACCTGGGGCTCCTGGTAGACAGAAAGCTGACTGTGAGTCAGCAGTGCCCTGGCAGCCAGGAGGACCAACCCTGTCCTGGGGGGCATCAGGCAAAGCATCGCCAGCCAGTCGAGGGAGGGGATTGAACCATTCTGCTCTGCACTGGTGTGGCCTCACCTTGAAAACTGTGTGCAGTTTTGGGCACCACAATATAAGACAGATATTAAGCTACAAGAGAGTGTCCAAAAGAGGGCAATAAAGATGGTGAAGGGCCTTGAGGGGAAGCCTTGTGAAGATCAGCTGAGGGCATTTGGTCTGTTCAGCCTGGAGGAGACTGAGGGGAGACCTCATTACAGTTTCAACTTCCTTCTGAGGGGAAGAGGAGGGGCAGGCACTGATCTCTTTTCTGTGGTGACCAGTGACAAAACCCAAGGGAATGGCCTGAATTTGTGTCAGGGGAAGTATATTAGAAAGAGGTTCTTCACCCAGAGGATGGTTAGGCACTGGAACAGGCTCCCCAGGGAAGTGGTCAGAGCACCAAGCCTGACAGAGTTCAGGAAGTGTTTGGATGATACTCTCAGGCACATGGTGTGACTCTTGGGGATGGTCTTGTGAAGGGCCAGGAGTTGGACTCGATGATCCTTGTGGGTCCCTTCCAACTTGGCATATTCTGTGATTCTGTGAAAGATGTAGCTTTCAGCTGTCCTCATCCAAAGGAAGAAAAAGAGCAGGAAGACATTACAGGAGTGACCACCACCTAGAGAAGCCTCAAACAGTTATCTTCTCTGCTTTCCTGGCAGGCTCTTACTCCCCTGCTGATGCCACAGCTGTACAGATTAGCTGCAGGCAAACAGCTCTGAGAGAAACTAACTGAGCTCGTACTTCTGAGAGCTGGAGAAGCTGCAGATATCTCTAAGTTAAAGAACAACATCTGTGTCCCATAATACTAAAATATTTAAGTAACCTATATTCCTTTCCCTCAAATCATTGGTTTTATTAGTATTACTTAGTCTGTCATAAAAAGCAGCCACTAACTGGTCTTTTGTTCTGGAAGCTAGATTTACTCCTCTTCTCTCTTATATTACAAGCAAAGGCAGAATTACAAACAGCAGAATTAATGGGCCCAAAAAGGAAGTGGAACGTAATACATCCCAAACTGGGCAATTTTAGAAATGTAAGCTCATAATTTATATTTAGAGATATACTGAAACTTAAATCTAGCATAAAATTTAAAAATATACCCAGTGTAACATAAAATCATTAGATATATATATTCATGAAACCCAGTCTGTTCTAATTTTATAACCAAATCTTGATGTACAGTACATATGATAGAAAACAGATGAAAAATCTTATATGCACATTAAGAAGCCTTAGATTTTTTTTTTCCCCTTTTAAATAAAGTACTTCCTGGGGCTTGATGGAAAAAGAAAAAAAAAATCTTCATTTAAAAATAACTGTGGCTTGGCAAGGTAGTATAAGTAGTTTAGAAATTCAAAATAATAGTGTCACACCTAGAAAAGCTGTGTATTTTTTTTACTGAAAGAAATGAGTGATACAGCTTTTGCCAGGAAAATTATGCAAATGGCGCAAAGGACGTTTATTCATAAGTTCCTTATTTCATGCTGTGGCACAAGAGAGCCTATTTAAAATGAAAAATATCTGAAAAGTTACAAGCAAAGAGAGAAGCACTATTACTCACTGAACTGATGTTTTTCTGAGTATTTCTTATCCTCTCCATTTCAGGAGTGTCAGGGACAGTAGAATAGTTACAGAGCATCTTTTCCGCTTCATCTTTGTACATTTTCTGAAAAATAATTTTTAAATGTCTATTTCTTTCTTTGGGGCTGAGGATATCAAAAGTACAACAAAAGATGCCTATTGCTGATGAGCCTCCTCATCCCTGTCCAGTATTTATTTCAACCCCTCTCCCCCATGATATTGTTACCATTGCCTGTGCGGGACACCCAACACTGTCCCCCACACTAAAAATATATAATATACATATATATATAATATATATCTTCATATATTATATATCCTCATATATATTTTCTCTTTACTGGCAGGATATATGTAACATATCATTAGGTAGTGTAAAAAGAACTACAGGTAGATGTAAACAAGTAAATTCAATTGTCATGGTATAACAGGCCTAGATAAAAATAAGAATCAGGTAGTTAAGACATTTTACTACATGTAAATTAATTTCATACAGGTATGAAAGCCTCTACAGAGCTACAGAAGAAGTATTTTGAGCAATGTATGTCAAGCACTCAATGTTACACAGAATTAAAACATTCAGCCTTTGACCATGTCTACCTGGATTGCTATTTCTGAAGCCCTTTTGACCCATTGTATTTCTGGAGTACATAGACCAACTTGCATTCCTTTTCCTATAATTTCAGTCTCTAGATCCTTTTTATATCCTTTCTGAAGAAGAAATAAAAGGGAAAAAACCCTATAACTAATACTACAATTCTCCATACATTCTGTCTTCAAAGATATTCTGATAGTACTGGTCAGACTTTAAAAAAAAAACCTCTTCAATTTCTTTAATTATTTTTTTGTGCACTGCTTACATCTTTTAGCCTAAGAATGTTCAAGAAGATTTTATGGTTTTAACATCTCATGGTGTTTTACTTCCAAAGTAATCTTAAAGTGATTAATTGTGTACTCACCTGGCTGACAATTTCAGAAGCTTTTTTGGCTCGTTGTATATCAAGGGTATCCATGCTCACTTCCATTCCCTTTCCTTTAATTTCATTCTCCAAGTCTTTCTTGTATTCTTTCTGAAAATAATAGCATTGGAAATACATCTGACAGTCAAATTCTTAATTTTTTTCCCAGTTTAATCTGTGCAATTCCACTGAGCAGCATTCACAAAACACCAAATAAGTATTGATTCAACGGTAATAATTTTGTAGAATCTATCCATGTGACACCCACACTGTAGCTGCTGACAGGCTAAAAAATTCTTTTAAGAGACTGCTCACTTCAGCTCTGATGTAGCCTTTCACATCTGTCTTTCCAGTTTTGGCAGCTGCAATCACAGACAAAAGTAAGATGAGATTTTCTTCCCTCTGCCATGCTTTGCAAGACTGGGGTCATGAGGTTTAAGCATCTCTCTAACTCCTTTTATCATTTGGCCCTAACTAAATAAGTAGTTATTTCGACCTAAAAGCAGTAGAGCCCACAGCAATCGAACACAACCCAGGTCAGGCATAACTCATGAGGAACAAGAACAAGCTGCAAAAGATGATGGAAAAGTCACAGTTCTGGGAAGTCTTAACTTTCTCTCACATGATTATGCAACTTTCAGACTCCGCGCATTTCGACAGATCAGCTATTTGGTGAAATCTGTGGTATCGCTACTGCCTAGATTGGTCACCAGCTGGAATTCTCAACAACAATAATTTATTGCATGCTGTCAAATGGAAAGCTTGGACCAGGTACAGTACTGACCATGCTTGCAATTTCCGAAGCTTTCTTGGCTCGTCTTATCTCAGGGGTATCTGGACCAACTTCCATGCCCTTCCCTTTAATTTCAGTTTCCAGGTCTTTCTTGTATTGTCTCTGTGAAGATAAAACTTATACATTATATTGTCAGTATCCAGAGAGTTACAGGTAGATTTTTTTTTTTTGCAAAAGAGATTGAAATTTAGGATTTAGAGTCAAGTAAAACTCTCAGATTAAGGGCCACAACTCTCAAGACACTTGGTAAGCTGTTGCCAGAAAAAAAAGCATAACAAACTACAGGAGGAAAACTTTTAGAAGGTATTCACTGACTGTACAAATCTCTACCACTGAAATTTTAATGTGGCAGAGGGTGGGAGGAAATCAGTCCATACAGCTTGCTACAATTATCCTCTAAAGTAAAGGGGGAGTTTAGCTCTGCAGAACATAGTGTAATAAGCTGGTACTTGATGCCAGCCTAATTGAAACACATTTTCTTTTAAGAAAATATTTTATTTATGAAAAGACTACATGTTAGAAATTTAATACCATACAGAATTGCTTCCAGTGAACTTCCAGAGCAGGAAGTTGTAATTTATTCATTTAATAGGTCTTTCCTGAACCATAGCCATTAGGCAAGTAGCAGTACTCATCTGCGATTGCTCCTTTTTCCTCACAACATAAATTATAAATAACCAATAACTTGAAAACAAAATGAATATTTCATCTTCATCTTATACAAGCAAGGATATATTCCTTGTTCATCAGCAAAATATATTAAAATGTAATACTGAAATATTGTATACAATAATTACCTTTTTTTAATTTGAAAAAATGTTCTTAGCCAGTGCTATTCCTATTACTACAGTAGTAATCACTCTTTTTCTATTCTAGTTCATTTCTGCCTGTGGAAACCTTTTTTTTTCAAAATAAATACATGTAATTAAAAAATTTTCCTTAATTTTCTTGTTTGATAATTATTTTTTAGATTCTACATTAGTTAGAAAAAAGAAGGAGAATATTCTTCTACTCGATGCAACGGTCTGATCACTTACAAGAACAAAAGCAAAAAGATTTTCAGTCTTCCATCTCTATCTCATTCTGATATGGACATAAATGTGATAAAACAACTCTTTACTTTGCAAACCATAGTCTTTTGAAAAAGTGTAAGTTAACCTGTGGGAAGATATCATCCCTCAATTCCTCTCTGCAGCAGTGGGACAGCAGATGTTTCCTCCGAGCTTCATATTGTGTAAAACACCAAGGGAAAGATAATCCTGGGAGTTACAGCTATATATTCCTGCACTTCTTTTCAGTGGTCAGATTGGCCCTATGCATGTCATCCCCTCTGGCTTTTATGGCTAAATATGTATGTATGGTCAGTCTTCGTGAGCGAAGATTTGGGAAAGGTCTTTACCCTTCGAGCCTGCGCAGTGGATTTTTTAGGTGAGACCCAGCGTGCGCTGAACTGAGCCCACCCTTTAACCCTAAGGTTCATCTGCCGGGGCCGAGCAAGCTCGGACAGTGGCAGTGAGGTCCCCAGGACGTAGGTTTGTTTAGAGTGACCTTCTCTTAGATGGATGGCCTTACAAGGCTGACGAGCTCCATCTGCCTGGGGGAGTTTCCCTGACCGGGAATCAAACCTGGGCCACAGCGGTGAGAGTGCTGCATCCTAACCACTAGACCACCAGGGGTCCCCCATGGCTAAGTATGTATATGTGTGCAAATAAACATATATATATATATATATACACATACATATATATATATATACACACACACGTGTGTGTATAAAATGAATATAAAATGCCCAAAGGCATAACGTGCAGCATGAGCTTAGTCTTCCCTCTTCCCTCCCCACACCCTCCAACCCTACTGCTGCTTCCCAGAGACAGTCTTTGGAAGACCACCCTGAGGAACTCATGCATTCAGAAAGCCTGTTCTAAACAGACAAGTTTGTTCTAAACATCATCATCATCATGGCCAGTCTTCGCGAGCGAAGATTTGGGAAAGGTCATTACCCTTCGAGCCTGCGCAGTGGATTTTTTAGGTGAGACACAGTGTGCGCTGAACTGAGCCCACCCTTTAATCCTGAGGTTCATCTGCCAGGGCCGAGCGAGGTTGGACAGTGACAGTGAGGTCCCCAGGACGTAGGTTTGTTTAGAGTGACCTTCTCTTAGATGGATGGCCTTACAGGGCTGATGAGCTCCATCTGCCCGGGGAAGTCCCCTGACCGGGAATCGAACCCGGGCCACAGCGGTGAGAGCGCCGCATCCTAACCACTAGACCACCAGGGGGCCCAAAAACATGGTTAGATGCCACGAAGTAGGTGGCAGTGCCTTAACCGTATGTGTGTTGTATAGGCCACTAGGACCTCTTCCATCCTTATCAAGGGGAGTGCTAACCTTCTCTCCTTTCATACCACACTTGTTCTAAACAGCACAGTTCTAAATGCTGTATCCATTGACCCCACTAACAATCTCCTTTAATCTTTTAATTGCATGAAAATCTGAAATCTGAAATATTTGTCCTGAGTTGATTTTTATCCAGAGCTTTACTATATTTTTAAAGCAAAACAGAAATAGCCTCAGTTTCAATACTTATATATTTCATTGTAGATTATGTAAATTTTTTTTAAAAAATTGAATCTTCTCCATTGAGTTTAATGTAAAAGGTGAACCCTCTGTGACATTAATAACCTTGACAAGCATAACATACCTCATTTAGTATCTGAGCAGCATTTTTCACTCTAATCAAATCTGGTGTATCTTCAAACACTGTCATTCCTTTTCCTTTCATCCCTTCTTCCAGATCTTTTCGATATTCTTTCTAAGGATTAAAAAAAAAAAAAAAATAGTGAAAGAGGTTTCTCCACTTAATATTGCGTGCAAGATCTTGAAAAGAAATGCCACTTATTAAATGTCTGAAGGGTCTCTTTGAAATTTCTATGAAATATGAATTAGCTGTAGTATAGATTTCAGAGTTAAAATAGAATTGGAAATTGTGAAATCAAAAGGTACAACACTGAAAAGTGAAAAAATTTTAAAGTCATCATATATTTTGTTGTGCTCTTGAAAACCAGCCCTCCCTCTACAGAACTAGCATGATATTTAGGGGCCTTGACTGTCTTCAGACAGACATTTTTACTGCAGTAGCATTTTCTTTCTGCAGATCAATATATGCTGTGTTGCAGTTTTTACCTCTGTTCCAATAATGGCACCCCATTCAGGATGGATTCCCTGAACAACACACTAGGACCTGTTAAAACAACTGCTTGACAAATTATAATGTAGAAGAAATATTCCTATCATATCACTCCTGTGCCTTTTAGACACTGCACTGATATGATCTATCAGCATTCAGCAGCCACAGCCTCCAGAGTACTCAAATGTTCAATATAAAATTCAAAGCACACCAGAACCTGCCCACAGACATTTGGTTGTTTTTCCTCTTCCCAGGTCCTAAAGAGCTGATGTAAGCCTACTGAAGTTCAAGGTCTTTAAGTTTTGTAAGGATTTTTAATTGCTCCATCTCCAGGTGAGGATTAGGCTTTTTTAAGCAAAGAAACTAGAAGAACATTGAAGAAAATATATATCAGAAGGATTTACACAGACATGAATTAATACTCCTAATTATGTATTAAATTTCATAAGTAGCAGTGCGCACTTTTATCTTCCATAAGCTCTTTATTTAAATAAAAGGAAAACAGGTATTTTTAAAGAAGCTTCTTTTGTCATCACAAGCATGTCCTACAACAAGCAGGAAACAACTTCTATTAATTTAGAACTATTTAGTTCATCTGTCTCTTCTGAAGAAGTTGTGAATGTGGTTCCAGAGAAGAAAGTTCATGTTGTTACAAAATAGGAAATATGTACAGAATTATCTACAGTGGGAAGGCAACAGAATAAGCTGGAACATAGCTGACACTTGGGGGGGGGAAATAAGAAGCAATTGAAAAACTGATTCATTTTTTAGTAACTTCTTGTTCCATGCATTATCTATTTAAAGTTTATTATGAACCTTAATGCAAAGATACTGAGCTACATCCTTGACTATAAAGAAATACATAATTTTGCTGAATTGTGAAAGATAATAATTAATTTGACCTGTGTAATCTTTGGGTTTGGAATATATTCCTTGAATATGGATATAAAACCATACAAAATTCATGCAGTTTTGCATTAAAATATCATTCCCATTTTCTCATATTCTTCCCCTTTGGCTTACAAGCATGGTTTATTCCCTAAGTAATGAGTCATAAAACTTGAGGACGTAAGAATTAGGGAATATCTTAATGCATACAGCACTATGGAGGGAAGCTACATCAAAATTTTCAAACATGAACATTTATAGCACATTACAACTATGCATGCAATAACAACTTCTGTGAGCATTCAGCAAGCAGATTAAACAAAATGACAGCATTTGCATTTTTCCCTAGTGAGTAGGTATACATGAGATGCGCGCACAGAATGGTACTGCACAAACTAGACCCAGCTTGAGACTTGCTTACCTGACAGCCAGGCTTATCAGAATAAATTATTTATTAGAGAATGAATAATAAAGAAAATCTGAAAAGAAATTTTTTTCTTTATCCATATGAAGTCTAGCAGACTGGGATAAGTTGTATAAACAGCAAGGAAAGGAACAAGGTTCAAGGATTTTTAATTCTAGCATCTTTATTTGTTTGGGCAAAAAAAATCAGTTCTTAAAACAATAAATACAAACAAGGTACTGTTGGCTCCCAGATTCAAAGGGAGGATATCTATCAGCTCTGCTCTTCTCTTCTAGCAGTTCCAGCTCTTCTAAATTTGGTCAAATAGTAACCGTAATCTACAGAACCAACCAATACTCAAAACCTAACATGAAACCAATTCTGAATAACAATATAAAAAGACTAAAGATAAAAGGATTCTCAGTTATGGAAAAAAATTATTTCATTTGTAGTGACACGTACAACTGAGAACATTTGACAAATCTTAAAGAAACAGAGGGCATATAGAAAACCTGTACCATCTAACAAAATGTGCTTAAAGCAAATTATGTAATATCACAGCTATATTATGGAATTTTGGTCTTCTTTATTTTCATCCATAACATGCATGATAGATAATTATTTCAATTAACTTAGTTAAAAGTGACCATACACAGCTCAAGGCATCCATATAACCACAACAGACTATTATAGATGTGAAATAATAACTCAAAAGGAAAAACTGCCATCTGGATGCCAACGGAAATCCTCCTTTACACCCCTTCATCTATCTAAAAACTCTGTTTTTCTGGTTCAGGTGTGCTGAGCTTTATAATTTGCTTACTACACAACTATTCATACAAATTGATGTGAAGCAATTCTTATTCATGAAGTGACCTGTATTCAGCTACCAAGTTAACTTTAAGCTATTCAGCACTCAGTAGCTTGTAGTGATGCTGCTTATTGCTCATTTACAACTTAACAACAGCAAAAAATCCTTTACCTCTTTCAGAAGGTTAGTGACTTGCTTTATATGCAAGAACTCTGGGGTCTTGTCTAAATCCAGTGAGGGTCTTCCCTTGATCCCTTCTTCAAAATCTTTGCGATACATTTTCTGTTGAAACAAAACCAATAATTAGTGGTACATACATACATACACAATTCCAAGCATATTTCAGAAAGAACACTGCAAACAGACCCAGAAATTAACCATGTCATAAATTAGTCATCACACTAATAAGCAACTTCATTACTCATTTCATTATCTAGATTAGCTATACAAGACAGAGACAATCTAGACAAAAATATGTGTGTGGTATTTCCAAAGAGAATGTTGAACCTGAACTATGAAAGAAACAGTTTGCTTGGTAGGGAAAAGAGAAGACAAATAGCACACAAGGTAATGGTCTGAAACTCATTAAAGTTTCTACCAAAAGGATGAGGTCATCTGTTTTCCATGACACAGCAAAAGTAATGGAAACAAACTGCAGCATGGGGGACACGGGAAAATACTCTTGCTCAGGATGGATGGTGAAGCACTGGACTAGATTGCCTGGGAGGTCACAAAATCTCCATCATTTGAAGTTTTTTTTAAAAAGTCAGAAAAGCATGGCCTGACATAGGACAGCCAGTGCTGTTCTGGAACACTCCTTCCCCATTGCTGAGGAGCATGTTTCAGTTAAGGCATGGGGTTGGTCTGGGTTCTGTGGCTTCACTTACTCACATGTGAGAACCATCCCTCACTAATGACAGAATTAAAGGGAAAAGTTAAAAAATTAGTAATCTCTGATCTAGATGACCTCTTGAGCTTCTTCTCAATTATATGATGCTACAGACAACCTCTGTCTAGTGTTAGCACCAATGGCCTTTTGAGAAAAAAACAAATTTGAAGGAAGAACTGAATTATAGAATAGCAGAGATAACTACACAGTATAATTCTACCATATCCTAAATTTACACTCTGCTTCATACATTTTCTTAACCTGAGTACAAGATGTCTGCTAACTTCTCTGTTGATCTAACTTTTACGTCTTCAGGCACACATTTTTACTGACCTCACTTTGCATCTTTTGAGCCTCTTTTGAAACTTGATACATTGGTGTATCCACAAACTCCAGCATTGATCTGCCTTTAGCTTTCTCATAATTCTCTTTGTACTTGACCTAGGAAAATTAAAACAAAGTCTGTTAGCAGCTGACAGAATGTGAGATCTGATTGCTTGCCTCAGCAACAGACAAATCCTGTCTTAGCCATACTCCTTGGAAGTTTCGAGTTGGAAGACTCCTCCCAAATTTAACCTGTTGAAGAAACAGGGCAGCTGGATAAGGTAATTTGTTTTCTGGAGTCATTTATTCCTTTTCTTCAAATTGTCAAACCTAACAATTGTGAGCTTTGAAGACAGCAGGAGTGAGGAGCATCAATCACAATCCTTAAACTAATTGCATGATTTTGGCCAAATGACCTATGTCTGAACAGTTGGCAGCTTTTTAATAAGGATCCCCTGCCATGTTTCCCATAAAACAACACATTTACTGTAACAACAACAAAATTTTGTTTCACAGCCAGGCCCCACAGGTCTTTGCTTCAGGTTCAGGAGCACCACTCTCAAATGCATTTTTGTTTGTACCTGTGGGAGGGAGAAGGGAAGGAAAACTAATGCCTCAGTAGGGTCCGGTCTTGCACCAACATTCCCCTCACAGCTACTAGGGACCATGACCTTAAAGCTAGCAGTAAAATCACAATGAAGGACACAGGGTTAAGACATCAACTTATGACTTTATGCTAACTCGCAAAGCAAATACACTCTGTTTGGAAACCTGGAGAAGCCTTCTGAACTCATTCATTCACCCTCTTTTGATTAAGACGGGCAAACACATTACTTATCTCAAACAATCATTGTGCAGTATGATGGAGTATTCTACACAAGCCTTAAAAGAAAGCAAATAGCTACAAATCAAAATATTATATTCATAAAGAGTAATGTCATTTTAATTTATTTTTCTCTTCAAAAACAGTGATGTCTGAATTTCTCTTTCTCTGTCAGGCTTCTGCATTAGGTTTGGGTCCTGCAAAAACGCTCTCCTCTCTTCTCATGGGGTGCTTCTGACTGACTATGCACTGTACATCACTGTAATCTGTCACGCAGTTTTGTGACTGATTTAATCACTATTAGAATGCTGCATTTTTCTCTTTGCAAGATGTGTTTGCGGTTGTGTATTCCTGACTTTGAAGCACTGCATTTGCTTTGTGATGGATTTGTTCAGTAGTACCCAGGGTGAAATGATAGAAGCCCTTGCTTTGCTTAAATGATTTCTTATATTCAAATTGAAATAAAAAATATCCAAGAATGTTTTCATCAACAAAATCCAGAAGGTTTTGGAATTTAAATACCATTTAAAATAAGTATGGAAGAAAGAGCATAGAAGAAACTACATTTTAGGCCTCCCAACTCAGGAGTTCTGACAAATTTGAATTTAAAATATTGTGATGAAATGAAGAAAGGATACAATAAAAAACAACTCTTGTACATTCTTAGAGAAAATGCTTACCAAGGTAATCCAAAAGTCAAATTTTTATGTTCGATAGAAAATAAACGTTATTGTTTACATTTGACGTGCAAAGGAACACATATGACAGTCTGGGTTTGCCTCCTAGTGGAAAGAATTATAAATGTCACACAACAAAATCACTTCTGTAGTGGAAAAAACGAAAACTATCTCCACCTACAGACAGTGATTTCATACCTTTACTCCATTCCTCAACTAATGGAACAAAATAAAAAAATAATTCTATAAAATCAAATTAGGTAAATCTCATAACCTCTTGCTACATTAAGCTACAAGCACTAGATTCAGTCGCTTAAGTTTTATTTATTCACCCTGTTCCATAAAATGAAATACATCTAAGTTCACCTTTTTTTAGACTGTAGGTGATTAGCATCTCAAAGTCTCTAAAACAGGCACAGATTTAGAATGTGAAAAGCAATAAACTAGCTGTTATATATATATCAAAGTGTTAAATTTTATGTCTCCATAGCTTATGCTACATGTATATCTACCATGGTTTAACTATAGCCAGCAACTAAGCCTCACACTGCTGCTCATGCACTTTGCCCAATGGGATGGGTGAGAGAATCAGAAGGGTAAAAATAATAAAACTCATAGATTGAGATAAGAACAGTTCAATAACTGAAATAAAATAAAAATTTATCATCCTGATAATAAATAGATAGTAAAAGAAAAATAACAAAAAGAGAGATAAAGAAAATATCAAGAAAAAACAAGTGACACAAATGAAAAAAAATTGTTCATCACTGACTGACCAATGCTCAGCCTGTTCCCAAGCAGCAGCTCCCAGTCAGCTTCCCCCAAGTTTATATGCTGAGTATGACACCACATGGTGTGCAATATCCCTTTGGCCAGTGTGGGTCAGCTGTCCTGGCTGTATCCTCTCTCAGCATCTCATGCACTCCCAGACACCTCAATGGTAGGGCTGCATGAGAAGCTGAAAAGTTCTTGACTTAGGGTAAGCACTGCCCAGCAATAATCAAACATCAGTGTTTGGTTAACAACCAAATTGTTATCAACATTATTTTCATCTTAAATCCAAAACACAGCACTATACCAGCTACCAGGAAGAAAAGTAACTCTATCCCAACTGAAACCAGGACAATACTGTATGAGGGGAAAATTCCATCTTGTGAATTCTCTTCCTTATCAAAATAATAAAAACAGGATGAGTTCAGCCTGTCAAAATCAGCCTATCTGTGTCCAAAAATGCTTATCAACCTTTCCTCTTAACTGATGGAATTTATTTCCATGGAAGTTGACTTGTATAACAGCCTTGCATTGATATTACAGTATATGTGCTTCATAAAGTTTTGCACACACTCCTACACTCTAGGTCAATCAGCAAACCCATTCATTCAGTCAACCAGATTAATTTATGAGTTTAATTAACCATACAGGTTTCAATCTGTCGCATCGGTGCAGGTGTAGCTATGTTATGCAAAAGATAATGAGAAGCACAAAGTTCAATGGAGAAAGGTATACTGCAGGGAAACAGCAAAACTGGGCAATTAGCAAGCAGCTCTGTGTTTCAGAAGGAAAAAAAAACAGACCATATGATCAGTCGTTGGAAATCAGTCAACAGTACAGTCAGGAAGACTGTTTCATACAATGGAAGCAGATTTCAAGACAGATTTGGTATGAGCTGTGGAGAGACAAGGAGGAGAACACAAGGAAGGTACTGGAAAAGCAGGGGAAAAGGCAGAAGACTAACCATTTTAAAATCAAAGCGATGACATGGGGAGGTCAAATCTGAGAAGGATTGTGAAAACAGGATTTCTGCAGAAGACAGTGGAGAGATTAAGGATTGGCAAAGCATTCTGCTTCCTGCTCGTAGCAAGAAAAAATACCCATCAGCATCTGGACAATGCAAAAATCAGAGACTTAGTATTACAGAGTCCTCAGACCAGCCTATGGACATTATGAATCAACCCTTCCTGGGTAAAAGAAAGAAATAAATTTTGCAAGACATGATCTGCTTAAGGGAAGGTCCAGGTTTCTATCTCATTAGAGATAAGATGACAAATCTGTCTTGAAATCTGCTCAACTCCTGCCGCCGTAGAGCAATCTTCCTTCCCAACACTACCCACTCATGCCTCTCCACAGCAGTTCTGCAGGACTTCTGTGGTTTCAGGAGTAAAGATGACAAATGCAGTTAACCAGCCTACAGGCACCATACATGCATCATAGGTGCTCTTAGAGTGGGAGAGAAGCTTTATCATGGTAGAGAAGCCAGGGATTTCCTAGCTCGTCCTTCCTACTTCAACCCCCACCGCTATCATACGTCAGACCACCAGCCCCATCAAGAGACTTGTCTCGTTACATGTCAGAATGCAGCATGTGCCTATTCTGACCTGGTGTAGGAAGCCTCAGACATTTAGGAGGGAAAAAAGGTTTAGGTAGAGAAACTGTAAGGGAAGATAGCACTCGAGAGGCTGTTCATGAAAGAAGTCCAAATACTAAACTAGCATAATGCCCCCTTCTGTACAGACATTTGCAGATGAAAGCAAGATCTTAGACAAAACAAGATTTGCAAGGAAAGAAGTACCTTAGAACAAAGTTTAAAAACAGACAAGGTTTCAGACATATAAGAATAAACACTCAATATCAGAAGTCTGTGTGATTCTTCCATAGTATACTGTTCATTCTAATAATTGAAATATGTCTTCCTAAAAACCAGCTTTTCATCCCTCATCTACTATAATTACAATACTCTAGTCTTGGCCAGATTGATCAACATCACTGGTCTACTCTGGCCTCCAATCGGGAGGTCTGGAGACACACCATCTATAACGCTGCTGATGCCTTTGAGATTGCACGCAGGATCACTCTCGAGGAGAAAAGACAACACAGAAAGAATCGTGGCTTGCAGAATATACCACCTAAGGAGTCTTTCTGCTGTGCCTTTTGCAATCGGACACGTCTATCTCGTATTGGCCTTTTTAGCCACCAGCGCGCTTGTAACAAATGTGGATAGAGCCCTTCCCAAATCTTCGTTCGCAAAGCCTAGCCATGATATGAGTCTACTACATATGAGACCATGAAGCAAGTACCAAAAATTTTTGTTTCCTAGAGTGACTATACATACTACATTCCTTACTACATTTATCTTTCAGGTCATTATTAAAAAGGCAACTTACATCACTGTGCATTTTGCTGATATTTAAAGCATGGTTTAAATATAGCAGATTTGGTAGATCAGACGCTGGTTCATGTAGGCTTTCCAAATCTTTCTTGTAATTCACCTGGAAAGAGAATTCAGGTTATGCAAACTAAAGATTAACAAAATATTTCACAGATTTGTATTACAGTGTCGCCATCCAGAAACAGAAAGCATTAAGTGCTTGCCTGAGCAATCTGTACCAGCCACTAGATGGTGGTCATCTACTGTTATTTGGAAGAAAAGGAAAAATCAGTATAGGATTCATTCTGCAGAGGAAGTACTTAGGAACTACTCAAACTTTTCCTCCAAAAAGGACACTTTCAACAAAATCACACTTTGTATGACTTTTCAGACTAGAATTTTTTTTTCCTTTTTCCTCTCCCCTCCCCTCTCACCCCCCACTTAAATCAAGATGATCTTCCTCAATACTTTGAGTCTATTCATTTTAAACACCATTAATTCTTATTCTTTTTCTCCTGCTTCAGGCATTACGCTAACTGTCTAATTTAAAAGGTTGTATATATAGAAGTAAAAGGGAAGTGCTCCTGGATCTTTTATCTAAAGCAGATTGCTTTCAGCAAATATAAGTAATATCATGGCATAAGGCAAAAGATAATCACTTAATGAAGAAGGAGAAGATAACTTCCTATCAGCCTACAGTAGGATTTTCCATACTTCTCATAGCTGGATGCCCACCTTTACAGGAAGAAAACTAGCCACCTTACCTATCTTGGATGAAAAATCTTTTAAACTAATACCTCCACATATGTATTCTTCACTAATTTAGGCAGACTCTAAATCTATTATATTTAATTTGCACATTTCTTACAATATTAATTAATTCAATTAATTGTTTACTTCATATGTAGATTTTGGAAACAATTACATATTCTACTGTACCCTTCCCAGAGCCGGTCTCTCCTGTTCCCATTGCATGGTGCCCCATACTTTGGAAATGCCAAACTACTACTCTTCGCTATCTGGGATTACAGCCTCAAAGAAGAGCTCACATTTTTAGCATTAGACACACTTTTAAATATATCATCCCAACAGCATTATCACTCTATATAGAGGTTTTCTCCAGTCTGGCTCCAGCAGCAGACACCCATTGCTCAACATAGTGACTGCTATATATTCTAAAACTACTGAGAAGATCAACCAGCAGAATGAAGTCTCAAAGACAGACATCCAAATTTGAACTGCTCATGCAACCTCCTTCACTCCTCAAAGACAGGCACCTACAACAGGTGAGAATTTCCCTCTAGACCTGTTTATTTCTTTCCTGAAAACAAAGGGACCAAGTACAGGGCAATAAGCACTCATGCCTTTGAACACACAAAATTAAGCAAGATGAATCTCATCTAAAATGGTTATGAAAAACTCTGTAAGCCCTCTGTCAGAAGTGGAGGAAGAAATGGATAACATGCTGTACCTGCTACACACTGCATAGCAGAGACTGCAGCTCAGACTAACTCATAAGATGACAAAAGAAATTCTACTTGTGAACAAATGTTAGGTTATTCAGGATGTAAATGCATGTAAAATACAAAGCCAATTAACTTACATCACTTGCCAAGGTGGATGCAATCTTTGCTTGCTTGAAGGAAGCACTGTCAAGAGGATTGTACTGGTGACTCTTCATTTCCTTACTGAACTGCTCTTTGTATTTCACCTTTCACCAGAACAAATATGTCTAATATTAACACATAGCACTTAAAAAAGGCACAGAGAATTCAGACTACAAAGACACTTATTGAAGCCAATTGGCTTATTCATAAATCTTTAAACAATCTTTAAAAAAGCTCAGTTTAGCCACACCTGTGACTGTCTTGTGTTGGTTTCAAAACAAGTTTTATGTATCCAATTTTACTAAAATTTTAAGATTGTCATATGCAATTACTGGCACTGAAGGATTTATAAAAAGAAAACAGAACTAAAACCATATGATTCACCTGAGCAATCAAATAAACCAGAACTGTTCGACTAGCAGTGATAATCTCCTCACTGAGAATCATTCAATTTGTATCTAACATAAAAAAAAAAATAAATTCTAAGATGAATAAATTGTAAAATTTATAAAACAAATCATTTGTGAATTTTTCAACCACTTGAAAGTGGGAAGTCCGAATCAAACGTCCCACTCAGCTGTCTTCCCACCACCAGGTCCACGTGTCAGTCATGCTGTTAGACTGTCACCAGAGCCCCCAGGTCTATTTTTGATTCCACCAGAAATTTCCCATGAGACGCTGAGGAATCTCTCTGTAGTACAGCCTTTTCCTGGGGACAATGCCCACCTCATTACAGTGCTAGAAAGTATAATTAAATGCCTGTCTGCCACGACTTTCACTCTCTTTTCTTCTTATTCAAAAGAAAAAGGGGGAATGACAACACACGTAAGAGGAAATGAGCAATATATAAATATTGAGACAACAGCATTAAAAGCAATTCCATCACAAAAATTCCATAAAACATGCTGAAAACTGAATTCAGAATCTGATAATATAAAATTGAACAAATAGTGTATCTCCCTCCTTTGCCCCCTTTGTGCGTTACCATCAAACATTTGGAGACTATGCACACATGTTTGCTTCTTTCCAACAGCTGGGCATAATGGAGGAGAATAAAGTTCAGTCTGAATTATGCTGCTTTCATGAATGTTAGTCAGACACCTGATATCTGAGCCTATGCAACATCCATTATAATTTACCACGCTCTGCATTAAATAAATACACGGCTTTTTCCCTTCTCCTTTTTTCTCTATTCCCACATGAATGTCTAATAAAGTGGTTAAACCACCTCAAACAATCTCCTTCAAAAATTATTTTTTTCTCAGCTTTAGTTGTGGGAAGAGTGATTTTTTTTCCTTTTTAGTTCTTCCTTACCTCAAAAGACCCTCAACATGGTTAAGCTTATACAACCTCATTATCATTAGTCACAATGCCCAATATTTAATTAATCAGGATAACAAGAAAACAAAACTAAGCCACCCAAACAGAAATTAGCTGCGTATGTTCAAGAACTATTTCATCATTCCAGTACTTAGGTTAATTCTTCTAAGGAAGGAAATTCTAAAACACTGTTACTTTTAAAGAGAAACTTTATCTGAACACATGATGCACTTCATAATCTTTCACACTAGCTCTAGAAGAGAGTATCTATTGCCTTCTGGTAGATTCATCTGGTTCATATTGTTTGATATTTGCCTTGGCTTTGGATCAAGTGCAAAAGCATATATCTGAATACAAAGACAAAGGCAAATCCATGGTCTGTATGAGCAATGAAGGAATAAATCAGAGGACTTTTCTCTTTTAAAAGGTGTATCCAAAACTTGCCTTCTAATGAAAATCAGGCAGTGCTGGAATATGTTATTCAAAAAGCCTCTGAAACCAGGGATCAAGTCAGCACGGCAAGCAAAATTGTGTTTTACTCATTTATTCATTTCATAACCATATCATGCACAAGACTTCAAATATCCAGCTCCTGCAGGCTGCCTTCTGCCCGGCCAACAAATGGCCACAAACAGTACACACATACCAAATATCTTGGTCCTTGAGATTCTTGTTAAATGGGAGAGCATTGGTGTTAAGGCGACCTGTCCTCACAACTAGTTTGCCATCTCCCAGCAGCAGATGTTTCATGCCACCTTTTAAAAAAAATTTTTTTAGCAATGCATTTCAATCTAGAGTTTCCTCTTTCATGTCACTTCAGATCACATTGCTGCTAATGTAGGAAAGAGGGGGGCCAGTGAATCCAGTCTTCAGGATGTTTGCCGTGCCTTCAGGGCCGTGTGTCCTGATGCCAAAGTGCAGGAAGGTCCCAAATTTAAGGATACCCCAAACAATATAACTGTAAATGTTCCTGTTGCGGTGAGGGCTGTCTTGGTAACTCCAGGCCCTGCTGCCTCCTCTGGCTGCTCAGCTTATTGGCTCCCCTGCACCATGGCACAGGTCGCTCTGGAGCAAAATGGAGGATACACAGTGATAACCAACGACCCCGGCAGCACCTCCAGAGCACTTCCAGCAGTCATTTAACTGACTTGTCATAGGGTGTTTGTCTCATTGAAAGCTAGACAGACATCCACTTTCTCTTTTATCAACATTTTCTTGTTTCTTTCCCCTTTTTGAAAGGAAGCGTGGGGTGGGAGAAGATAAAGAAAGAAGATGAGTCACGGTGAAAGAACACACCCGGTATTTATCCTTCTTTTGAACAGGATGAAGTTATGAATGCAGTTTATAAAGAGAAAGGGTTCTGAATAAAAACAATGAAGAAAAACACTTCATGTGATTTCTAAACCATCTGAAGGGGGAAGGTCTTAACAATGTTGTAATATGGTGGAAGAGCAAACAAGTGGGAGTAGAATTGACAGTTGTTAGTGGACACTTATCTTCCAATTTCATCATTAACTGAGAGTTTAATTTAATGAGGGCTTAAAAAGATGGTTACTTATTTACCATCTTCATTAAAGTCTTAAGTTTGTTTATTTTTTTAGAGATTATGTAGTGGGTGCTAATTTAAAAGAAATGCATGGAGCTTGCTCTTTAGTGGTTGCATAAGAAAGAGCAGACTCTGCAGGCTTTTAACACAACAACATCCCTGAAAAACCAAACTGGAATTAAATAAGGCCTGGATAAACAAAGTTCTCATCAGCCTTGCACAAAACCTATAAAAGTCAAAATTGCAGCTGGACAGAGCAGTGTCTTTTGAAGCTTAGCAGCAACATTCCTAAATCAAATCTGTAGTTCAAAGCTGTTCACACAGGGAGTGTTCAGTTTCAGAAGTGGATGACATCACCCACTGTTCAGATTTACAAAGAAACTACAAAAATTGAATCATTCAACCACTGGGATCCCAGGATGAAGCAGACACAGCTAAAGCACTTCCTCATGACCATATGAAAACGTCTTTAAAAAAGGAAAAACCTGTTAGAACAAAAATATATTGAAGGAAATGTCACATAAACAAATAGCAAAATTGAAATATTCATAGCTAAAAGCACTAGCAGAGTTTAAAGCAAAGAAAGATTAAGAAAATCCTAGGCTCTTTGTGTTGTTACTGAAAATCTCAGAGAAGGTGCATTTTGAAAAACATTCTACCTTTAACAATTTTATTCCTGAAACAATAAGCACCAGATACAGCAACAAATATGAAAATCCAAAATTATTCATTCTAAAACCAGTTATTGAACACCATAAGGGGAATACATCATATCAGCAGCTCTTTGAAGAAGCTAATAAAACACATAAAGAGTACATAAACAAGTGCTTGTTTTAATAAAAAAAAAAAAAGCCCAAATTATACAATGTATATTCAGCAAATTGACAAGCTTCATGTTTTCACAGAGCTAACGCTATTTCTGTTTCAAATTTGCTCTAAAATCAACAGAAAAGGGTTACCACATGCTGTGGGTAAATACACTAGTTCTGGGAGCTATTATTTTTGCTGCTGTTGTTTTCGAAAGCTTTGTTAAATAAAAAATTAAAAAGGAAAAAAAGGAGAGAGAGAGGGAAAACACTGATTTTTGTAAAGCCTTGAGTGCCAGTCAAACATTAACACTATTTTCTTTGCTTTGTTTGCTTTCCTGCTTGCCTTGATTGCTTTCTCCCTTAGTTACACCCACACTGCCTGACCTCTTCTTGCTCCTGTTCTCTATACTCCCTAAATTACCTACCCATATGCACCACATTAAAACATGTTATCATCTTCTCTTCCCATTACATCCATCAGAATTGCCAACTTTGCAAATTTACTGTGAGGGTCAAATAACTAATATTTCTCTGCATGTCGCAGCTTATAGATTCATGCTATTATGGGAGATTATCTACTTTAGCACAAAAAGTTTATAATCCTTCCATTTGCTGAGAAATAAATGGAAACTCTAAAAGCCAGAAAGTCTGGATACAATAATGAGATCATTAAATTTACTATTTTTTAAATCTTGTAATTGTTACAAGACTGTTTCACGATCCTTGCGTGAAGAGGACTGACATGACTGACTCATATTTAGGTCTCTTCCTCTCCTCCAGCACAGGTGCATTCTTCATCCTGCCCCACCACCCTGCTCTTTGGACACAGGGGTCATCTTCATTTTTCTGTGCTTTTGATTTATGATTAGTGTGTCTAAGTGTTATAATGATTCAAATAATATATAGAAACATTAGACAACTCATGGCCACTGCATTCCCTTCAGAGGAGGTGAGGGAATTGCTGAGTGCACCTCCCTGCTGCTAAGAGCCACCCGGTATTTACACCCTCCGTGCTGCTGCAGGCAGACGGCTGGCAGCAGAGTGTCAGCACTGCCTCCCTTTCCCCATCACAAACACTGCAACTAGTCACAACAGTGTAGACTGAGGAGACGACAAGACAAGGAAGGATCCAGGGCCAGTGGCTGCAGAGTTTGGACCACCACAAGCTATACATTTTATAATAATTTTGTCAACCGCTCCTCCCTTCCTGCCACACCTTCTGCACTATTTGGACTCTCTAAAGCAGTTAAAATTGCACAGTAAATGCTGCCTTCTGCAGAAAGATCTCAACTAGAACTGCTGCCATCCCAGTCTCTGGCAGTTAAGAGACTCTATTATAAAAGTGTTTGCAGATGCAGCTTGCATTGTCCAAGAGAAAAAGCACAGCTAACAATAATGAGATAAAACATGCATTGATGAAGCCTTCCATGCAGCTAGCTCAGCATCAGCTTGCAAGACCCCATGATCCAGATGATATTTTTCGCTTGTTGAGATTGTTGGCCACAATCTCATGGGTACTAGGCTTGGGCAGATGGAGAGGGCTGTTGGAAAGGGATCCAGTTTGGTCCCATTTGCGACAACATGCAGCTGCCAGCCCACTAGATTCTCAAATAGGCTGTAAGGAAAGGAGTGTTTAGGCAGTAATTGAGTAGAAATAAAGGACATTACACACTAAATTTAGATATGAACCCTTTTAAAAACCACTAAAGGTGTTTGCTAAATGAGAGACAGCTCCCTTTCCTATAAGTGACACCCAGGTCTAAGCAGCATCACACTGCCTCTTTCTAGAAAGCACTAGTTGACTTCCTAGCCTGCACGATGCTAAACACAAAATAATCTCTTAGCAGACTTGCCCATCAGCAGAGGAATGAGTACATGATCCATTACAAAATGGAAGACAGAAATCTATTTGGAAAAGACAAATTCATTTTGATTCTGAACATATCATCAACTCAGCAATAAAAACCATTTATTTCCTTCTTTTTCTCTTTGTGTAGTGAGTTTGTGACGGTCCAGTGTGAAAGAGGAAACCATGCAGCAGGTATCTAAGGATAACAGCAAAAGGAGTTCAATTTCCTGCAGACTACACTGTTTTGCAGCTTGTTCTCTATGACACTTTATTCTGACTTTATGGTAGTTCTAGACTTTTAGCATCTAGCCAAATCACAAGTATTTGTTACACATCACTGATGCTGAGACTGTTCTAGTATATACACTGCTTATACTTCGGGTTTTTTTGTAGCTCTGGGAAGGCTAAGACACCGTTCTCCAAGCAAAGAATGTTATCCTCCTCTCACAGGAGGGCAGAATTTGTTCCTGGGTTTACAAAAGCTCCAAGGGTAGCTGGACAGGATTACTAGTGAGGATTATGCAAGGTAGCGTTAAAGAACTACTTCAGAAAAAAAAGGAGGGAAAAAAAGAAAAAAAAACAAAAACAAGTCAGCAGTCAAAACTGTTCTTACAATGTAAGGCTGATCTGTACTACAGTCTTATGTGTAGATCTTATGCGTAGAAAACTACTAAGAGGAAGAGGGAATATTTCTGTTTCAGCTTTCTTTTTAATTAAGGACTAAAGTAATTTGTCCTTTCCCTTTTTTTCTTTTTTTTCTTTTTTTCTTTTTTTTTTTTTTTTTGAGGTTAATATATAACAGTAGTACATAAAAGGTTCAGTTTCAGAGGGAGGGAAGGCGGGTAGTTTACATGTCAGGCCAAATTCAGATCCCATTACTCACATTAGCAAGCAATTGCACAAAAGACCTCAGTTACTTCAGTGGGATTAATCACAGGGTAAGGTTCCACTCAAACTGAATAAGTAGTAAAATTTACCTCTAAATTATGTACAGTTAATATTTTAGAAATCCTAGATAATCTGTATAAATATACACCATCTCCACAAGAGACGAGTTGTAACAGTCAAAGTTCATTGTATTTTTGCATAAAAATGTGTATTTGGTTTCCTAAGAATCCTGAATTTACCAGTCCTCGCAATACTATATGAAAGGTTTGAGAACATAATCCTCAAGCAATTAGAGATAATTATCTAAAAATCTAAATATTTCTTTGCATTACTAGGAATGAGATATCTGAATGAAGTCATTGTAAATTGAGGGAGAATCTTACTTGGCTTAAAAGTTTTGAAACTCCTTTGGCATGCTCAAAATCTGGTCTTCCAAGTACAGCAGGCTCCTTATTCATCTCTCCCCTTCCTTTCTTGTACTCAGCCTTAAAAAAAAAAAAAAAAAAGAAAAAGAAAAAGGAATATGAATCACTAATAAAATGTTTGGTTTCGTTTTATCAAGAGAAGTGTAAGCATTAAAGCTAGTTGAAAAAGTCTCATTTAATGATCTATATTGACCCTACCATTCTGATCAGCTCTGAATAAAGCTCTTCTCAGGGTTCAACTTCTTAACAACATAAAATTTACCTATTGTAAAACATAATGCACAACATTCACAAAATTCAACTTTAACCAAATGCACAGCTTCAGCCTGAGAAATATTGTCCTCCTGATCAAGACAGAATGAATTACAGTGGCTCAGCATTTCTTATGACAGGGTCTATCGTTAACGCAAGATTATTTGTAGCAGCTGAAAGTAGTCTTGAAATAAAACTAGGCTGAGGGGCAGCTTTTTCTGAAATGTAAGGTCAACTTCCACTCTCAGTTTTACCACTGTGATCTTGCTAGATGTCAGTGAGATTGCACTGGTGTAGCAGCGCAGAATTAGTCGCACAAGCTTGGTGTTATGTGATCCCTCCAGCTGAACTGCCTTCCATGCAAATTGCTGCAATTTTTTCCCACAATGCATTAGAAAAGAGCACAGATGAATCAACAATAGGTGCTTTGCAATACCACAAACTAAATTATCCATTGCCTAAAATAGGCTTCTTGTATTACTCAGGCACTATGAATCAGCAAGGACACGTCAAAACAACAGACTGGGAGAAATAAAAGTCCCAAAGCCACTCTAACTCAAGAGAGATTGAACAGCAATTAGTAAATTTGCATGTTGAGCATAATGTGTAATAGGGGCTCCTGGTTTTCAAACAGTCCTGAATATTAAAAGGTGTATCTCAGATCTCAAAACTGTCTCTCCATATGTGCCTAGTCAGTCTCACGTTTAATTATTATCAGTTACTTACAAGCTTGACTCAGGGCTTTTAATATATACATTGTTTGACTTGTCAAAAGAAAATATTAAACTGCATCACACACTGCTGCTTCTCAAACTGCTCCTTCACCTGTCCATTAGCCACAGTCACAGAATTTGAGAGGGGAATTAGAGCCCCCATGCAAGAAGCAGTTCTCAGAAGGACAGAGGGGAATTACATTTTCCTGTCGCTGCCAGCTGAGATGGGAAAAGGAAGCAAAGTCCTGGGATGCAAGCTTCTCTTGCACCAAGGCAAAAAAAGGCTTGCCATGTCTTCTGAAGTGAAGTATAGCATACAAGCATATGATTTATTTTGAAAACGGTTATCATGAATAAAGGTGAAAAAAACCCAACTTTAGTAATTTCAATGTTTTCTTTAGATCAGTTACCAATAATTGCTAAGATCATACTGTCAACATCAAAAAAGGATAAATCCTTCATTTTCTAAAATATCAGGCAACACTGGGGGGTTTTTTGTTGGGGTTTGATTTTTTTTAATCAAATCTCCTATCAGATTTGGGGTTGTAGGTTTTCTGCTCATGACATTGGAGAGTTCCAGCAGCATTCTAAAAAAATCTGATTGAAATTGGATTAAAAAATTACATGTCTAAAAACATACAAATAGAGTAAAAGGAGAACATACATCACTTATTATCTTTGTTATCTCAGTTGCCATCTTTATGTCTGGCCTGTTCAGCACTTCAGTGTACCTATGAGTATCTTGCACATCCTTCTTATAGGATACCTGTCAAACAAAAAACAGTTTTGTTTAAAATAAACAAAAATATTTGAAGTTTATAAATAGGCTTTGAATGACCTATCAACTCAGTCATCAAATTCAATAGAACTCTTCCTAATTTATTCCAACACAGTTCTGCTTGACAGAGATTATATAGTAAGACCCACACACAGGTTACCAGGGTAAGGAAGAAATTCAGAAGCATAAAATACAATACGAAAATGAAAAATGGTTTTGCCTAGAAGCATAGTAGAAAAGACTGAAATATTAGGTTTTATCATTAAATTTCAGAGGATTTTTAAGAGTACAGCTTTTTTTTCCTATGTTGCACTTTTGTAATATAAACTAACCCCCCCCTCTGTTACTGAGCACTGCAGCCTAGCAGATTGCAGCTCCACTGAACAGAAACTGTAATGCTTCCACAGTGAATGTCTTTCTCTATACTAGACAGCCATGTAGCTGGCACGTAATTCAAGGATACAACTCTACCTCAGCATCCCCACAACGCCACTTATCTGCTCCTTTACACAATAATGGGAACAAGAAGGCTGAGTGTTCCAGCATGTTGAGTACAAGACTGAATCTCTGTTTGTGCAAAAGCAACTATTATAATGAGTGGGCTCAGAAACCTTTGGCCAGCAGGCTAAACTACAGGTAGAAGAGTTCAAACATTCTCCATTTAGCAAAGCAATCACAGGAACAACATAGTCCTCAGGGAGATTACAGAGCTCTCAAATTATTCTTCTTTTCCCTCTTCAGGGTTTGTGAACTTTTTCCTTGCTGTAGCACATGTGCCAATCTAAGCCAATTTCCAAGGGCCATCTTAATTTAATTATTCTGAATTATTAGGAAAATCATCCCTGGTATTCAAAGTGTCTGACTAACTGATGTTTCAGGTAAAAGTTTGAGAACATAAAATAAAGTTTCCAGGAAATAGAAAGTATCAAAATAATTCCTGTTTTACTGGAAAATCTTTAAGGTTTTCTTCTGTTGCTTCACAAAGTTTATCAACCTCTCAAGATAGTATTTCACCAGCAAGAAAGTTCTCAGCTTGAAGCTTCTCATCATAACCTCTGGTCCTATTTTCAATGTAAAATTTCACTCTGAGTACAATGCAACAAACTCATAAGCTGCAGCAGTCAGCAACAAATATAATTTGTAGAAATGTTATTGCAAAAAGAAAAGAAAAAAACGCTCTTTTTGGCAAATATTTTACATGCAACAGGAAAGTAATTTTGCGTCCATATGGCTTCAGCTAAGTAGACAAGCTAAACAGGCTTCACTGTTGGCTGCTTGCCCACAAATAGATCTTATAATTTTTAATCTGCCATGACTGACACACAAGTTTAATCACTGATAAATTAAACAAACAAATAGGTTGGATGAATACAGCCCAAAGTATCACATACCTAGAAAACAGAAGTTGATTTTCAAAGCTGGTTTAAACCAGTGGAAGATTTATTTTGGTTATGTTTAGATATTTTTAAGAAACTAGATGTCCAGAGAGGCATTTTCAATTCAGGACTTTACACGAATTTAGTTAATTATATGCTGTTCATCCTAATGACCACATGAAGTGAGGTGAAAACCACAAAGGCAGCAGAAACAGGTTTCTGAATAGCACCCTATCATCCATGTAAATTGCAAATTAAAGGCCAGCATATGTGCTCAAAATAGAAATTAGGAATATAGTGAATTTCACATCAGAGAATCAAGAACAGTGGTGATGAAGTTGAGGAAATGTGGTCACTTATTGCTCCCAAATGACATGATCATATAGTACATGAAATAATGGATTGTGGTTAATTTCAGGAAAAAAGGGGGGGAGAAATAAGACAGTAACAGTCCTTTATATTTCACCATTTCCAATTATACTAGATGCAAGGCCAATTGCTATACCTTTCCCTGAGTGAATTATTATTCTTCCTGCACCTAAACCAGTATACCTATTACTTATGTCGGAGAGAAAGTCATCTAGCATTTTACAAATGTCTGCAATATATATTTGCTCCATTCTGCAGCTTGTCATACTCCGGTGAGAATAAAAATGTTATGCAGCAGAACAGTAGTTTGTCAGAGGTAGGCCAAAGAAAGAAAAAATATGTTTCCCATTTCCTGAATAACCTCAATCCCTGGATGCTGACCCTTTCCCATTGGGACACTGTGCTGGCCTCTATTACACAGCTGCTATTCTGTTCCGTCTAGTGATTTTTTTTTTTAATAGTGCTATGTTAGAACACTAAAACCAGAGCTATTCTGAGAGAGCAGGAGAACAGATGTAGGCAGGGTAAAGCAACCAGCTTGGTGTGTGTACCCATGGGCATCAAGAAGATGGAAAGTGAAGAAGACTACAAGAGGGGAGAAGCAACAAAAGAAAGGTAACAGCAGAAGGAAAGGGGTCATCTTTTCTCCTGAGTTGGTTCAGCTTCTTACCAAGAGGCTCATACCCTGACTGGAATTTCCAGGCATTACACAATGCCCTTATTCAATATTCACTTCAAGGCGTTGCTTAGGCCCTATCAAAAAACATTGCCAGAGGCTCAAGAATTGCTCCTTTTCATGAGGACCACAGGTTTACAAAAAATCTGCTCCAACTGGCCTTTGCATAGTAAAAAATAACTGAGACACCAACAACTTTAGAGCAGAAGTGGAAGACCTAAATGGAGAGTTACATCAAATCAGCTGGAAATGCAAGTGAGAAAGAAGCAGGGATCAAAAAAAAAAAATACCATCTCAAGTTTTGAAGTTGAAAACAGTAAATTACAAATACCAACTAAATTTAAAGTGGGTTTCTACCCCAATTTCACAATAAAAAGTGGTTACATACTTGAATGTTTTTTAAAAATTATAATCAGAACAAAAGACATTTCTCATCTTTAATCCCAAATGTGATTACATACTCTGAATTGTGACTAGCTGTTGCAAAGCATTGAAAATATTGAGGGCTTGCTCATAATTAGACTGATTTTATTAGGGCCAACCATGCAGTTCTTATAAAAAGGCACAAGGTCCACTAAGGATAAACATGCTGATCTATTTACTCCAGCTGAGGGTCTTGAACGTGCTTCACCTTTCATGATGGTGCCAGTGGAATGCACTACAATGCTATAAAATAAGCAGATTTCTTAAAATGCTGTAAAACACCTCAGGTTGTCAGTCAACAAAGAGAAACTTCTACATGGTGAGCCAAGCAAACCTGGGTTTAAGAGATTCAGAACTTTCCTTCAATCTTTTATCTTCTCACCTTTTCCGATATTAAAACTATTCCAAGCTATAGGTAATAAATTATTCGAACATGCACAAACAGCTATGAACACATTTTGTCCTCTTAAGATGCATGCACAGAAGTCAACAAGAAGCTGGGCACACCTATCTGCATGAGAATTTGTCTCTTACTGTTTGTCCCCACTTAGTATTTTCTAAGAACTGTAAGTCCACTAACTAATAGCCTGTCAGCTGTGTCCCTGCCCCCTGTTCTCTCATCTGCACTTTGGGGTCCATCAACACTAAGAAAATAACTAGCTGGTGACAATCATCATAGGCAACAGCTTTTCTGATTCCCACTCAAAGGATGTTGAAAACTGTTTTCCGGCTTGAGTAGAAGAGACAAACACATTTCTGGCCCATTACAGATTGATGCAGTCATCCTTTCCAGTAATGGGCTTGAAAATTGATTGGTCCCAATTACATCGGGAGTAAACATCATTTTCAGCACCAGTTGGAAGCGGTCCAGGGGGACCCACTGTTGACAACCACTGTCAGCAGAAAGTTACTCAGTCAAAGGTGATTTTTCTAATGCAGATGCTGAACAGAGAGCCAGGAGAAGCTTGACTTTAACATGGTCTGCATCAAAACAAACATTAACATTCGAGTATGTTACTGATGGTGTTTAAGTGCATCAGGTTTAAGATCTGCAGATTTGGTTTAATCAGAAAGAATGTACTTTTTTTGTGTGAAGATTGTGACTGCACAATATCCTGAACATGTAAAAAACCTTACTCCTAGGACAATATAGACTTCTTAAATATTCAAATTTAGATGGTGAGTAAAACTTATAAATTATTGTTACCGGCATTATGTGGAGTGGAAAGTGTATACATATACATCAAAAGTTTGCCCAACTGTCAACTAACATTTTAAAAGTGAAAAGAGAAAAGACACCAGAGCTCCAACCTCAGATCTCCAAACTGCCTTTTAAATGTCCACATATGAGTCTATTGCAGTTTTCTTCTTTGTAAAATCAGAACCCTTTCCTTATTTCACACCACGTAATGCTGTGAGGAGAACCCATAATTTTAACCAAGTAGAATGTTTAAATTGCTGTACAAATATTTAACAGTGTTTTACTATTCATAATGCCCAGAGATGCACCAGGGCATGGAACACACAAAACTGTGATCCACAGCTTTGAGTACCTTCACCAAATGCTACATGCAGCTTCCATGTAGGCACAATGTGGCAAGTGGTTTCTTTGCTTTAGAAACTTAGTTGTCATGTCATTTCACTGTCCAATTACATTTCTTCTGTCCACGTGATCCTCAGCTACACACAAGGCAAAACAGTATTTTGTCATCTGATGGTTTTTTTAAGGGCCACCCCCTAGTTTTGGTCCCAAGTTTGGAAACTTCCAGATGAGCTAAATGACATCAGTCAAGCACAGACATCGGTAGGCTGATGGTCCCTACTTCATTGTTCTGCAAATGACTTTGTGTGCCAAAGTCACATCATTAACATTCACTTCACAAAACACAAACAATTTATAGAGAAAAGTACTCTGGTTTGGAAAAACACGCTTTCGTCCAAGCATTCTGTACTATTTTAATTCTTTTTCAAGTATATTTCCTATCATTAAAAAAGTCACTTTTGTTCAAGAGCAATTTTCTTCAATCTAATATGAAAAACAGAAAAACTATTTTCTTATACATGATCACATTGTTCAGGAGATTTTACAGTATTTCCCTGGTACACAGCTTCTGCCCACACTTATAGATAAGAATATTAATGATATTCAAGACAATTTCAAAATATCAGCACAATTGTTTTGTAAGGTGAATATAGTTTTAATTTTTAAAGGAAATTATGCATTTCACAGAGTTGAGTATAAATGTCAGCCTTATTTTAAGGCTGAGTAAATAGCCTTAAACACATCCTAATCCTATTAGATACAAACCCTCATTGTAAAGGTTGAATTGAGTTGGAATAGCATTGTAGGTAAACATGCATATGGGAGCACCATAGGTAAACTGTACTGACTGGTGGATAAAAGAGCTTTGCCCTTCTAGCCCTTCTATAGTTTCCCTTCTTTTTCCCTGTACTTCCAAAGCTGTGATTAAACAGATAGGCTCAAAGAGTTTGGAAAGAAAAATGCTCCACATTTGGGATGCTCACTATCCCATGACTCAAAGATGAAAACTCAACACAGTTCTTAATTAAACCTGTACTTACAAAACACGGAATCCACAGCTATTCACCATGAAGCCAACAGCAGCTGTTTAACTTTCCTGAACAGTAACTGGATTTATGTAACTTTCTCCTTTATGTGTGATAAAGATATATGCCCATTGCACTGCAACTATTCACAAGCAACCAGAAAGAATTTGTTCCTAAACAATTAAACTAACTGGTTAGTTTTATGTTGGATATGGATGGTTTGTCTGATGTTTTTGAAGTTTGCTCAGGCTGAAAATAATTTCCTTCATAATTTTTCATTATTTTTAACATGCAGTTAAAAGTTCTTAATTACCAAAATATCCTTTCCTCCTACATTTGCCTTCATTTCCTTTTTTTTTTTTTGCTTCCTCTAGGAGTGAAAGAAGATGAAACAACTGAATTCCATTTATCCTCACATCTGTACCCTGCTCTCCTTAATTCTGTTAGCAGGTGATGTACAGCTGTAGAAGGGGAATAGGGTTTGCACTAGCGTACTAATCCTCAGACCATGATGAATTCGATACAGAAACTCATCTCATATTCCTCCTGGTCCCACCACTTTCTCTGAGGGTGATTCTCATCTCTCTTTCCAACATTATTTTCTTCCCTAGTAGTCCACCATCATTTCTACTGCTAGGTAAGAAAAACCCTCTGGTTTATGGGGAGAGACATGCATGTTTCCAGCTCCTACGCTCTGTCAGCGTGACATCCTGATGCTTCCAACGGCAGATATGGACAGAGTTTGACAGGAAGAGGGAATTTTGTAATCAAGGTAGGTCGCAAATTACTGCTGGGAGTTCCAATGTAGGTATTTCCCAGCAGAAGAAAAAGTTATTCCTCAAACATAATGCTTCCCTGAAGTTTTCCAGTAGCCTTTTAATCAGCAGCCAGCTGTCAAGATTCTGCACACACAGATATCTAATATTGACATTTAGTTTTCAGCCTACATAACCTAAGAGTGTTTGTTACACTGTCAGTAGGCAAGATAGGGTAAATTTAAGATAATTCAAAATGAACACCCAAGCTTCATTTTCTATACTATTAGAAGCAAAAAAATATCCCATGTATCTAGGAAAAAACAGTTGCAAAATGACATCTACTTGACTTACCTAACGGGAATGGAAATGGATCATAACTTTAAAGGTAATTACACATCAGCTGTTCTTAATAGCTTTGTGTACCCTTTAAAACGACCTCACTATTTTAACCAATCTTCTCCTAAAATTCACTTTTCTTATAAGTAAGCTCTTACAAAACCTAAAACTAACATACGTTTTTCTTCAAAGTTGTGTTTGTATCATTTAAGACACTAATCTGAGTAGAATTTCTGCCCTAAGCAATGGTGCATTGAGTTACTATAAGCTAGCTTAACCATGAAATCAAACCTGACTTGATTCTAATATAAAATGTAAATACTATTATTATTAGGTTTTTATACTGTGAAAACCTACAAAACTTAAAGAAGATAACAAGCAGCTGAAAAACAAAAAAAGCAACCAACTTTCAAAATATTGCTAAGCACTCCTAATTATCTGTAAATTATTTGTAAATTATCTAAATAATACTACAAGAACAAATACTTTAGTCAAATGGTATAAACCGGTGCCAGGCATCAAACTGGACTCTATGGCTCAGATTTTGCAAAATAAATCATAAATTATTCTATTAAATTCTTTGAAACTTACTTGATATGTATTTATGAGATAGGAACAAAGTTATTCATGCATATAAAAGTGTGCAAGAGCAGAGTAGAAATAACCCATTCTCTCCTCTGTACAGCACCCCTGAAGAACTATCCAAGTATTGACAGCATAAGACACTGAAATAACACTGCCCTTCATGTAAATGAAGAACTTTATATACTTTCAAAGTACAAGTAGCTACAAGTGAATTCAGAAAACCTGTTTGCAATTTTATTTCAAAGCGATAGCACTTAATAGCAGTTAAAATAAACTGATAACTGATAAAATAACTGATAAAGAATAACAAACACTTTTCACTCCAATTCAGGATAAAAGTCACATACTGTTAACTCAGCATATTTTATACACACATCATGTCCCAAATAACTTCAGAGCAAGTAGTGTATAAAAAAATACCAGCTAATAAAATATGAAAATATTCCATGCCCAGTTCATTTCAGTTAGCTGTAGCAGATGTATCTACCGAAAAACAAGCACACTCATTTCAGATGGGGGAGTACTTACATCACTCTGGTGTTTACTGACTTCCATGGCATGCTTAACATCTGGAGGCTCCTTCATTCGTGCGTAATCTGAAGTTCCTTTCTCAGCATCATGTTTTTGTTTATAGAGTACCTGAAAGAAGCAATATTATACTTTTGCGACCTGAGCAGAGCAGGTATAATAACATGAGCTGGGTTAAACCCAGTGTCATAGTGTGCCTGTATTGAGGAAGATACATAATAAATAATTAAACTCCTTAATGGAACCAGCTCCTTAATGAAATGAGAGCAGCTTCTACCCAAAACAGAGACATATAAGGTAGAGTCAGCAGAGAGATTTCTCTGCAACTGTTATTGCAACAGAGGCATGAGTAGACAGGGGGAAGAAAAAGCAATATACAGAAACAGAAAATTAAGCTTAACAAGGTGAGAAGACAGATCAGGGAAAAGGATAAGCAAAAGATTTTTATTTGCTCAAAACACATCATTTTCGGGGGGAAAACAGGTTATGCATTTTTCATAAACAAACAGTTTTACATTAAATACTCATAGCCCAAACTTCTCTTTCTCCTGCTGCTAGGAAACTACTAGCACAATATGCATTTTGACTAGCCCCCAAGTTCACAAAGAAAAATAATATTTACATTCAATTCACATCATGGTAAAGGAAAATGTAATCGAATTGTGAGTTTATAAACACATTTATTTTTATAATAGAAAAGGAGCTCAACATTGGGCATTTATCCAGCTTTCACTGTACTGTGTTATACTTACATATACATATATTCATATACCAGAACTGCCCAAAAAGCTGATCTTGCACTTATCCTTGTCAGAAGCTTTTAGGCTTATATTAAGAAAATTCACCAGGTTTTGATGCCTAAAAAGCAGCAAGCATCAAGAAAATTCATTTTCTAACAGCTCTCATGAACAAGCACTAAAATAATCCCCAAGGAAACAGCAAATACTAAATAAGATTGATAGATGATCAGAAGAAGTATTGAAACTAAAACCCTTGAGAGCAATAGAAGAATACTGTGAAAGTTTTGAGAGAACTCTCAACTACGGTGATTCAGACTCTTAGGACTGTGAGAAAAGGCTGTATCTGTTTCTGTTTAAAGCAGCACAATTTCGTCTGAGTCACAGAGTAAGGTGCCCAAGGCAATATGTTAGTATCTGCTCTGACTATCTTGGATTACAAAATAATATATAGGCTGAGAGATTAAGACAAAAAGGAGGGGGAGGGGGTATTTTTCCACTGCTACTATGTGAATGAAATTATCAAATCAGGAAACTTAAAATGTGCCACCTCCTTATACAATGAAACATGATCAGGCCTCTGGAGAAACAAACACAACTTAAATTGAAACAAAAAGAATCCATAACTTGCCTACATCTGGCAAATGGAAAAGCACATAATCTTCAACAAGACCGAAGCATCGCTAACAAATGATTCCCAGCAAAAGTGTAATTACTATACAAACATATGCCACAAAAACTCTTCTGCAACTTCTCCTTGCTTACACTGTCACTTTTAAGATGTTCCCCCGCCAATTAACACGATTCTGAAAAGCAGCCCCATACAGTTACTTCCAAAATCTACTAATTTACAAATATTTTATTACATTACCACTTTGCTGGTTCAACATCTCTATTTTTCTCTTGGCAGGTGGGCTACATAACGACGACATCAAAACACAACAGCACATCACCTCCCACCATGAGAAAATTAACAGGAATTACAATTCAGCATCCAGTATCTTGAAAAAGATGACCATTTCTTTATTAAGGTAGTAAGATTTCACTTGCTATTTGGCATCTGTGTTCCTTCTATTATTTCAGATTATTCCAATTAACTCACTGAAGTAATCTAGAAGCAGTCACAGGCTAGGAGGAATTCAAAGGCTGTCTAGTTTAGTTTTGGACATTTTAGTGCAAAACTATTCCTAGATTTGTAAATCAGTTTCAAGGAAGCACAAAAGAATAATTATTATTATTTCATCAATAGTCTTAGAACCATTATTTTACAGGTTAGTGTGCGTACATTTATTTCTCAACTCATGTTAATTTTCAAGTTTTAGCTAAACTGAATTTCCTTTATCAAATCTGCATAAGAAACTACTCCAGAGAGAGATCAAGCATTACAGGTCACTGACATAACCTCTACCCTTTAGTGGCACCATTTATTAACTTGAGAAATGCAAGGCAATTATTTAAGTAGGTATGACTTCAGATTGAACTAATTTGTAAGTACTCATTTTTTATTTTTCTTATCTCTCTTGTACACCAGTGTGTCAATAGGAAGCTGCATTAAGGAAGGCTTTGTGCTCTTTTAACCTAGCTCTGACCCTCTGTTTTGTCATACTTTAAACACTATTACATTTTTTTTATATATTTCCCTTTATAGTCAGTAAGCTGAGCTCTGAACTTAAAATCCACAAAGTAGGATTTTGTAGGAGGAAATGTTCAAAAACACAGAAAATGTCAATTTAATCTCTACACAGAGAATTAGATTAACTAGTGTATTCATGTAAAACACAAGTATAGAAGTCTAGGAGACTAATACCTGCCAGCATAAAACAGGAAATTTTGAACATGACATTTCATACCATAAAAAAAATTAAATAATTACATAAAACAGTCTGATAATGTGTAATATTATTGTAAGTGATGCAGTAAATCACAATTTTTTTATTGTAGTTTAAAAAACCCTCTGAAACTTTCTCTGGAAGTTGTAAATATTGCTAAAGATTCACTTGGCTCATCATCTTTAAAACCAAACAGAAAATACCGTTAAGCATTGACATATAGTTACTCTTTGAGGTATTGCCCTGTGCAAAGGAGAAAATTAAACTGCCTTCAGTTTGCTTTAGATTATTCCTTTCAGATAAGAGGAAAAACAGTGCAATCACGTCTTATGGCAGAAATAAAGTGATGAAAAAAGTGATGAAACACTTACTTTTTTCCAACATTGTTTTCCCTTCAAGCAATTTTAAATACCTTTATCATTGTTTGTGACACCTTATTAAAAAACAATCGTTCTACGTAAGGAAGTATTCAGTATACTGAATCTTGTCTGATCTTCAGACAAGAAAAAGACTTTGCACGGAGCTAGCAATGATCAGAAGTTTTCCTTAAGAAATATTTTCCACAGGAAAACTGCAATTTTTCAAAAATATGTCCACTTCCTCTCAGGAAAATCAACATTGAAGGCTCCCTGCCTAGACTGCTCCCATCAATTTTATTTTCTCACTGTAGAGAACAGGGAAATTGGTGAGAGCTTTTGTAGACTGGCAAGGAAGGTGAAGTTACTCAGTGAGGACAGGGACTTCTCTCTCTAGCTTACCCTGGGGACAATGGTGACAAAAGTGAGAGAGGGAGCAAAATCTGGTTGCTCACCCTCAAGAAAGCTACTTAGAAGTCAACAGTCAAATTTCCTGTGTAGAGGAAAAAAATGAAATTGAGAAAAGCCACCCAAGTATGTGGGGCTATGAAACTTCTTTTTCATTCTCATGAAACATTTTTTCCCATAAAGACTGTCATGATTTTTTGGTTACAATTTTAGATAGATGTCCTTCTCTATGGGTATTTATTTATACCTTTGTGCCAGTTCTACATAAAACACAAAAAACCAAATGTGGGTTTCATGAAAAAGCCAACAGAGATGGTCTTGTTTTAGGCTTTCCCGAGTATCTTGAAGGGGAATTGAGCATGTATCAATACAGTCAATATGGGGGAGAAGCTCCACTGGAAGAGAACCACATTTGTCAGGGCGCTGTACTCTCCATTGTGGCAAGATCCATATGCCAGTGCTGACCTTGCATGGCTGCAACCCTACAGAATGAGGTCCTGGCTCTGCTGAAGTTACTGACAATTGCCATATGAGTTAAAGCATGCAAATGTGGTCAATGGTGCTGTGGCAGTCTGTTTGCTCTGGAGAGGACAATGTAGGTGAAATCCCATTTTCTTGTGAAAAATGGGAAATTTCCCCTAGTTGCCCCCAACTCCCTAAATGATGAGTGTGATTTGAAACAGTGTATCAAATTACTAAATTGGGCTAGATCTAGGTAGGCTGAAGACAGAGCTGCTGGGCAGCAGCAGTACAGCAACACCATTTCAGGAGCAAACATCAAATCATGGCAGAGATCCTTTGCCGAGAGCACACCTGTGTAAGGAGATCCCCCAGAACAGGTATGCCAGCCTGTGCTAGCAGGTAGCAGCAGGGAGAGTCAGTGGCTCTCCTTCCTTCCGCACCATGATCCCCTAGTCCAGATGCAAGTGCTTGGCATCTACCAAGAACATGGCACCACAGAGCGAGAAAACCCCTGCTTGATCTGGCTACAGAAGCACTCAAGCCCAGCATTTCATCCAAGAAGCATGAAAAAGGAGTCAAAGGTGTAAATTTGTTCCAATGTGGATGGGAAGGAGGATATGTACTCGTATTTTCCACCTCTCAGGAAATCAGCACCTACATAAAATCAGCTTAGTGTAACTGGGAAACAGACTGCAGTTCTGTGCTTGCAGCAGCCTTTTTGCAGGAGGGCTGGTATAATGGCCAGCTGGTGCTGCTCTCTCTCCTTCCTATGGCATATCTGTAGTCTCCTCCTGAAGTGATGACCTGTAAATTCACAAACCCAGCTAGACAGATGCAGCAAAAAACCCCTCTGCCACATCCTGACCCAGCTGGAATGTGAAATCCTTGTATTAGCTACTTAGGTACCACAGTGATAGGCACAATATGGATTAGATTTGAATACTGTGAAGAACATTTTCACTAGAAAATCCCCTGAGATCTCTCTCAAAGTAGCATTAAATTCAGGTCCACTGCAACTGTAACCACAAGTTGGAAAAATGTGTCAGCATATCTTTAAGTTTTATGGTAGATTATGATTTATAATGCAACTATTCCTAAGGGAATGGTATGAATTTTACAGGGAAAATTTCTGCTTAAATATCTCATCCTATATGCGTATTTGTTTCTCTATGACTGTTGTATGATTGAAGAAAACCTTCAAAAACTATCAAATAAAAAACCTTAAAAGGGTTTTTTTGATGAATCAATGGTTTCACTTTTAGTCTCAGTTATTTGTCTCTTCTGCCACATCACCAATGTTAATTAATCCCATTTGTGTAAACTAATGTAGAATATAATAATTTGGAATGAATCCGGGAGTGAATCTGTGGCAAAATAGTTAACTAATGTTTTATAAATCGAGCTAACAGTTATACAAGTTTAATTCCCAATTTATTTCTACTGTAATTCCTCTAATCACTCACTTTTCAGTGAAATGTCACATTAATGACATTTCAGCTACTGTGCTGCTTTAACCTGAGTGTATATATGTTCCACTTCAAACTAAGAAAACTAAAATATATGTTATTATATTTGCTTAATATAGCCTTGATTAAAACACTGTTTTATATCAAAACATTTCTCTACAATGTGTCCTGACATTTCAGTCCTTTCTTTTGGTATTTTCCTTTGTCTGAAAAAATATCACTGCATTAGAGGAATGCTTATTGAAATACAGTCAATATTATGGATTTAGGAGCATGTTCACACGCTGGCTGTATTAAACTGTATCTTTAAGAGAGGAGAAAGTAAAAACAAGAAAAATGTGGAAATGTTTGGTGGACAGAAAGCAATGACCATCTATCAGCTGTAATTCTCATGAGTAACAATGAAAATCTCTAGCTCCATTCATATTACACATACTTAACATTCGCAATTCCACTGAGATCAATGGAAGTGAAGGGTCACCTGCTTACATTTAGGGTATTATATTTTTAAGCCCCCGAAGGCAACTGAAGTGGAATTTACTATTTTGCTGGTTGTTTACATGCTTTACACTACCTTTAATATACTTCATATTTTTAATTCTATAAAATTCGTTGTATTAGTATGTAGACCATCACAAATACATTTACTGCTATCAGTAAGTGCCTGTAGAAGTCATTAAAGATTTTATTCTTTTGCCTTCAGCATCAAACATTTTATATAGCTAATACAACACCCAACAGGAAATAGTTGTTATATAAGATTCATCTATTCTATAAGCACAGTGCAATGTCACTGAATTCAGTTAATTCCTTATTGCATTCATGGATTTCTAATGGATTTATGAATGCACTAGCAGCTTTTAAATGTATATTTAATAAACATAACAATGTCAAAAGATTGTCAACATTTTAAAACTGAGTAGTTCTTGAAGTTAAGAAGTTATGCTGATAAACTGTGGTTGATAAACTCATTCAAATAAATCAAGCCAGCAATCAAGTGTCTGTGCAAATATTTTGTTCAAATTGGCCATATTCTGACACACAGTTAATCTAAAAATCATTTTGCAATTCTAAAAATTGTACCTTGCTCTGAAGCTGCATTAATTCTTTTGCAAATACACTGTCAATTGTGGCTGGCATCTGCTGATAAAGAGAGTTGGAAAGGTCTTTTTTAGCAGCTCCTTTGTACTTCACCTAGAGGGCAGAAAAAGGTGACATATAATGCAAAAATTAAGACACAGTAAACATATTACCTATTTTTTCTAGTAAGTAAAATGACATAGGCCATTAGAACTGGAAAAATTTAAAGCTGTCATTAACTTCCAAGCAAAAACATATTTAAATAATACTTTAGGTGGATGCATCTAATTCACAAAACAATGCAAAATATCTACTAATTAAATTCAATCATTTGGAGGGGAGTATAAAATAAGGTAGCAAGGCAGATTTTTTTATATTTTTTCAAATAATTTTCAAAATCAAAACATCTTTTTTCTTTCTCCTTTCACAAGTTTTGCACAACGGAAGCAATGAGAGGCCAACAACAAATATTTTACCAATTAATAAGTATCAGCAATTAAATGTAGCTGGAAAGGACGGGAACATTGAAATTAGCATGTCCACCATAATTTCTACTTAATCTTTTCATATTACAGTCTCATTTTTTAATTACTTTTTACTTATCCTGTATTTCCTCCAGTGTTCAGTACTAGCAATTCCTCACAAAAGGGCTTCACAAGAGAGACCAGAATAATAGTTCAAAATCTGTGAGGCTTCTGCTTCATATATAAGTTTTTCAAATTCATAAAAACAATGTCAAGTGCAGCTGTGAAAGTGATCATAAATACCAAAAATATTTTAAATTATACTGTCTAATGTCATTAATTTACTGTGCAATATACAGTTCTTCATTAGAGGCTAATTCCCCATATGTATATATCTATATAAATAATTTGCTCTAATAAATTTTCCAAGCCAGAGGGCTCTTTTTCACTGTTGTGGACATGCTGTTAAGAATTTCAGTGTCCAAGTTTTGCAAAAACAGGTTATGGGACACTAGAGGTCAGTAATTTACAAGATAAACCATCCATCACATCATTAGCTTCAGGTAATGTTGCAATAAGCAGATAGAGTGCTCAAAGTGTGGTAACATAAAACATAAGGGGTTTAAAAATTTTAAAAAACCTTTATATCTCTAAATCTTTGATTTATAATTAGCAGCTTTTCTTTGGAATCAGATGGATTAGATAAATATTCGCTATATACTTTACTTTTGTAGACTGCAATAGTCTGCCTCTTATAAAGTGTGATTACATCAGATTTACTCCCCTTGGAGTAATGCCACTCTTTCTTAGAATACTGAAAGATAAATACAACAAAAATATTCACTAGATGCACTTCTATTGGATGTAGCCACACAGCAAACTCTTGGATATCAGAAAGAGATTACAGAATGTACATAAATTATGTAACTTCAGACAGAGATATTGGAGCATTCTTTATCATAATAATAAAGGTAACACAAAAAACGAGGCACCAAAAATTTACGTCTTCCAAGAGTCACAGTGACAGAAAAATCACCCAGAAGCAGTGATTCCCAAACAAAGCAACTCTCTGCCTTGTAAAACTCCTGCTGCTCTTCTTACCTATGGAAAATAATCAGAGATGCAATTCTACAGCACCTTGTACCTAGGACATGAAGAGCTGGCAGTAAATGCTGCTCTGGCATTTTGGAAGCTGTTACTCTTTCTTTGCCACTACAGTTGTGCGTGTGTGTGTGTGTGTGTGCATGTCTGTGTACACGAAGACCTAAAAACTCTGACACAGGGAGGCATGCAAGTGCTCAGGCAACCCACAGATGGCATTGACCCGATGTCTGCCCCAGGTCCCTCGCTGAAGAAGGACAGGGATGGTAACAAAGGAAACAGTTCCCTTCTCTCCTGTTTTATATCAGGCTGTGAATTCTCCACAGCAGGGAAACTTTGCACAGGTGAAGTTTGCAAACTTCATCATTGCAGAGCAAGTAACAAAAAAATTCTTTTCCTATTCCTCGGTTTACCCACCCATAAAATGGGATAGCTAGGACTGGCTCAGAACCATTAGCAAAGTATCTTCAAATCCCAAAATAAAAGTATCACATAATTCCAAATTATTATTACTCACATATACGGTATATATTAATTACAGCCTTTTAAGTCACTTTAGCTATAAACAGAACTGTTATTTGAAAGAAGCTGTCCTTCCCCTGCTAAAAGTCACAGTATCCAACTGAGAGACTTTTTAAGAAGGATAAGAAGCCAAGAAAATTCTTCAGCCTTTTAGATCTTACCTCAGAAATAAAAGCACCGACACTTTTCACATGTTTTAGCTGCGGGGTGTCAGGTACAAATATGCACTTGCCTTTAGATTTTTTAAACTCTTCTTTATAGTGTATCTACAAAGAGAAGAAAAAAAAGTTTAATTGTTCTTAAACACACACACACACAGAAAAATAAACAACAGCTATTTTTTACTTAAATATTTTTTATTATTATTATTTTATTTTATCCATGGATACTATTCTGGATGGCTTGCAAGTACCTCTAGCTGGATCAAATTAAACCATAAAGGGAAACACCCAGTTCTCACACACAGTACCAGGACTATGTAAAAGTCACAGAACTCTTTAATAATAAAGATGAAAAAGATAGGATTTTTTTCTATATATCTACAGCACATTTTCACCACCGTTGCAGATGTTTTAGTATGTCTAAAGAAAGAAGAATCAAATAATTGATCTCCTTGATCCTTGATCTCAAAGATAAAATTGTTAAACTAACTTCTAACACAGACATAGCAAGCACAGAATCTGTATAACATCATCAAATGCCCCTTTCTGAATCCAAGAGTTCAATGAATAAATTCAGAAGGCCACTGCCAAACCGTTACCTACAAAGCACCCAACAGAAATGACATGCAAGGATTAAAAGAATTTAAGACGAAATAAATTTTAAATTGAGCCATTTTTAAAGTGTGTATGCACAAAGGAAACAATTTTTGAAACAAAACACCGTGATATATTTTGCCAAAAAAATAGAAACACAATTTTTTTTTTAACAACTAACCTTTTTCTTACCATGGGCAAACAGTGTGGGCAGGTACCACACCACCTGATGAAGTCAGAGTTACTTATTTGTATTAGTGAGACTATAAGAAGGATAAAATCTATGGACATGATTAACAGGTAGGTACCTTTATTATATAAGAACTTCATGAAGAAAGATGATGAATTATGATGAGATGGACTAAATAAGTTTTAAAAACAGACACTTTACATGGATAGCCTTAAATGCTTTTAGTGATATTTCTTTCTTTGTACATACAATAGTTTAGATCAATGCAAATTTAATTATTTAGTACTAAGCTCTTTCATGGTTATTATCTACTACCATTTCTGTAACCCCATTTTCACATTCTGCATAACAGCAGCTTGCATTTATGCACTCTAGACTTGCTGACAAGCACTGACAGAAGCAATATGATCTGCATCCGAGCATTACAGAAATATGCAGTCTTAATTTCCTCTCTCTCTGAATCTTTAATGGATATCACAAGTTCTAGTCTATGCTTCTCTACAGGGACCTGGAAAATTCATGAGAAGGATGGCAGCTTACACAAAATCAGCTCCTGTACATTCTGATGCAAACTTTCTGTACACTGCAAAATGGACTAGATAATGCTGAATTCATCTCAAACTCATGATTACTTAATCCTCACACAGTAAACAACTTTAATATTGAACTTATCCACATTTGGACTACTGAAAGAATCTACATCTCATTACCAAATCATATTGTCTGCCTTTGTGGATTACGGTCTATTTTAAATAAAAACTGTTTGGTGAACAATGAGTGTAACATTACTGTGTCATGATTTTATTCAGGGATCACAAAACCAGTGGTTCATGTAACCTGTGTATGACACTGTACTCCAAGGTAATCACAGAGCAATATACAAAAAAAGTGCAGTTTTATGAACACATGAGCAGGCACGCACTGTTCAATATGCCCACATGCATGGGAAATCTATGGAGCTGACTGCTTACTGGTTAGGTTTGATGGCATTCCCAGTAGGAACTCCTGTAAAACTGTGACTCTGGTAGAGGAGACAGAGAGTCTTGCTGCTCACAGCTTAGATAAATCACCCATAGATATCAAAAGCTGACTGTAATTACATCCATTTTAATTACAGAGCAATAATTACATTTAAAACTCAAACATAAAAGCTTCCTAAGGTGTATCTTAATTGGAGGGAATGACAAAACACGACCAGAAGAAACAATCTGTTCTGCTGCAAAAGTCATGCTTTCAAACTACCCAAAACCAGTAAAGGACTAATGCCACCCCCTTACTCCTTTATTATTCACATTTATTATGGTAACCCACAGAGGCCACAAAATGGACACAAATGGACCATTTAGAAAGGACATATAACAAAATGTTTGTTCAAACTGTGATCCAACACACTCCATTCTGCTACAGAATTGTCCACATTGCTTGGAAACAGAAAGATGGAAGATGATATGCAACAAGTATAATGAAGTCATGACATCTGCAGTTAAAAACAAATCTATTGTAAATGATGCAACCAAGATGTTCAAGAGGTTGGCTACAAGTGAACATAACCAATGGCTGGAAGGAATAGGCAGAGAAGCTAACATTCCTCTTCAAGGTTTGGAGTTAAACATTCAAATGTCTAAAATACTAAATAGGAAATTTTGCCTGCAAATGACTTGCTCTTCATAACAAAATACGCTGTTTAGACTGAGCAGATCCGGTAAACCTTGTGAAAAAAACAAATAGGAAAAATTTGCATATGATGGCCTGGAGCCACTGCTCTTTCAAAAGGTCCAGTTTCTCTCCTTATCCTTTTCTTCTCCCTGACTCATCATAAAACTATCTCTAACCAGCAGCACAGCTATCATGTAAAAGTGGATTAAAATTCCTAGACAACCATCAAAACAGCAAGCTTCAAGCTGCATTTGTTTCTTAATGGATGTCACATGGAAAGATCAACTTTATAAAACAAGGGCATCCAACCTTCAGGTTGAAGCTTTCCAGTTTGCCAAAAAAATTCATCTCATCCATGGCCTGTTCCATCAGCCTTTTCAAGGGAGAAACACAGAGGGAGACTGTGGACTAAAGGAAAGGCTCGAATGGTAACAGCTTAATCCAAGCAGCAACCATTGTATTCAGGGGTACATACTAATCTAACTTTAATATAAATAACCATGTCAATAGTCATCATGCCAAGATCCACTGTAGAACTGTCATATCTCAAATACCCATTTAAGTTTGGAAAAACAACAGAGCTTCCTATCTAGCTTTTATGCTAAAACAAAAGGGAACTTTTTCCACTAAGGACTCACTTTCCAACCCTACATTAATTAATTTAGAATCTCTCATAAGACTAAGAACTGTGTTGGACCACAGATCCATCTAATACAAAATCCTCTCTATGTGGTTGCAGCAACCTAGAGAAAAGCATGAGAAAATAAATGGCAGGCGTATAGTACTATTACTGTACAGTATTTTAGTAGTCTCCAGCAATTTGGACCTCAAAGTCCTCCTGAATTAGAGGTGTGGCTAGTAATGGCAAGTGAAGTGGAACACCTGCACCCAGAATTAGGTGGTCAGAACCCTGTTGGTATGAGTGGAAAGGCACGCTGCTCCTCCACTTGACTCTACGTCTCTTTGGCCTTTATAACAGAGACATGATAAAGCAAGGACAGCTAAATGGCAAGTAGTTCTACTTTTTATATAGGAGAAAAGATGCACTGCTACCACACATGACCAAAACTGAGCAGAATTCTCAGTGGCAGAGTGTCTGCCATTCTACTGAAAAGGATTATGACAGTTTGGTCAAATATCATGTATAATAATTCCTGTCTCTGCTTATGAACAGTATTGACAACATCACACCCCATAATCAAAACAAATATGAAAATACGCCACAAGCAAATGGATGGGCGCAATTTCAATATGAAAGAGAAAAGGCCTGGAAAGGAAGGTAATTCATATAAGTCAAACACACGACAGTTTTGAAAACATCTGTGGAATTAAATTGCATCATGAAGGGAGATTAAATGAAATGGCTGTTGAGAGAAACAATCCAGGGATATCACAGCCACAGAACAAACAACTGCCAACCTCAAATGAAACTGGGGATTTCCTCAAGAACAGGAGCACATTAACACAACTTCCCCTACATACAGCTCAAGGCTGACAGCTATGCATGCACTAAGGACTGCCATCATAACACTTTTTTAAAACCACATTGCCAAATTAAAGTCAGCCAGCAAAGAATGCAGGGCAAGCATAATGCAACCCCAGTATCTCAGGTATGTGCACTCCTGGCGCTGCTTTCTGATGGAGGAGCTGTGCTGACAGCTCCACCATCAGAGAAAGACAATCACCCAGTCTCGTGGTCAGCAAGGACACAGGTTGCTCTCCCAAGGTCATCTTAGGGCCAAACTGCAAGTGCCATAAAACCACTGTACACATAAAACGTACAGATGTACACCAATGATACCTCCACACAAACAGTAGTTTCTGCAAAGGTTCATGGTAAAAAGGATAAGGAATATATAAAAAGTTCTGAATGTCAATGAGTCAAAAATCAAAGGTAAGAATGCAAACTCCTGGCAGTTTATTGGTCTCCACAATGAAGTGTGCAGGGTAAACAATTTATCCCCCAGCACGAAGGACTTCACTGAACATAAGAAATTCCATTATAGCAAAAATTCTGGGGACCAACATTCATACTCTATAAATGCACTGATTTCATCAGAGGCTGAATAAGGCCCTAAATTTGAAAGCTATTTTTAAACACAGAGTCTTTTTTTTTAAATTAATTGGTCTGGACCTGTACATACTGTTGTTGCTTTGAAAGCATTAATGACACTTTGCCATTATGCTTGACATATCTCAAGGAAAATCTAACACAGTTGTAGGCTAAACATATTACAAGTTTACAGCAAAAAATCCCTGAACCATTACAAGCTTCAGAAATCTGGCTTGACTTAGTTATTCACCCTAGCTCTCAAGGCCCTGCAGAAAATCCGAGAAAATGTAGCCACTCCATTTGTCAGTTAATTAACAGCCACAGCCAACATTACTTCTAATGGGTACATAGCATAGTAATAATTCCTTTTCAATTAAAGAAAATATTTCTTTAGCACTTTTCAATAAGTTTTTGCCTTTAAGAACAGCAATCACATTCAGAAAGAAGCTGCATGGAAGCAATAAATGTATTTTGGGTCAGATAAGTGCTCCAGGTCCATTTTCATTCTGGCCTTTACATGAGTTGACAGGCACTTAATGCACCATATGCTATTTTTTCCCAAAGAAAGCATGTAGATAGCTATCAGTAAAAAATATTATTAATCTCTACTACTTCCTAAAGTAGATTGAGACTACAAGGGAGCCATCTTGGTACCTTCTCTTAAGGATCTATCCAATTTCCAGCATTCTTTCTGTGAAAATTGAAATAGATATATGGACAAAGAGGAAACTTTGACCTTGTCAAGTCACACTTTCAAGCCAGCACTGTAACACTTACACATCCCAGATACTGTTCTTCTGAATTACCTATTTTTTTCTAATACATAACCCCTAAAAATTTATACCTAAAGTGTAGATTCTATATGTTCTATTCCCACAAAATAAACATCACAAATCTAAATATAGATTACAACACAACATGAGCCTGACATCACTTTTCAGTTTCTTTAAAATATTCTAAAGTCATTCTCTGCTCAGTAATTTCTTGGATCTGATCTATGATGCTTATATAATGTCTATAACTGATAAACAGTTTTAAAAATCTGTAGTAACTAAGTCAAGAATAAGCTAGTTAAATAATTTTAAAGATATTCTAGCATTTCAATGGATTTGTCCTATAAGCGTAGTCAATACAATATGCTGAGCAGTTCTGAGCATCTGTGACCACAGACCAATAGATAACATTCAAAATCCATTTTTAACCTCCCTCCTTACAGCTATGTGTACTGATCCCAGTTCTGTTCAAACCAATAAAACTACATAGGCTATAATCAGAACAAATACTGCATTTTCCTGATGAAAGCAGCCAAGGTGTTCTCATGGCAGACACCCGATAGACATTTTGAAACATTCTCCTTTCTAGGGCCTGTGTTTCATACCATCAAAGTGCTCTGAAAAGCTCATCCCTCTATGGCTGATAATTTAAGGTACTAGAATAATCTGTGTTTTTCTATTACTTTGTGTGCTTCTATATCTGAGCTTTGGATGGGTACATGCTACATTGTACATATCTGAGGAAATATGTATCATAAATATAAACACACTTGAAAAAAGAAATTCAAATATAAGGATGCAAATAGTCACCATCACTTACATCACTTATTAATTCACTGCATTTTCGGGCCAGTTCCATATTTCTATCCTCAATAACAGGCTTGAGGAAGACCTGTAAGAGAAAGGTAATCATTCTAGGTTTATCGTCCTAAAGAGTAACAACAGAAGGAAACAAGTACTTTTAAAAGCCATTGGGGTTTAACCCACCTTTTCTTCTTCTTCCCCATTTTCATTTTCATCCTCCCTGAGATCCTGAATGACAGACCCTCGCATTTTAATACTTTGCAGGAAACAACAATGAAAACTCTGAAAAGGTTCACTGCTGCAGGAAACAGCTCAGATCCTCCAGCGTGCCTGGATTTGTGTCCTCCACTGCACTTAATGCCACCACGGCTCCTTCCTTTTTTAGGCAGCACTTGACAGCCTTTATCTGAACAATTCAGTGTGAGTGAACTGAAAAGCATTGCAGATGGCCTTGCTAGCTATCAGTCACAGCAGAGCTAATGCTTTCTTACTGATAAAATATAATTAAATGACCTATCCCCATCAACTATTTTTAAAATTACTATGAACACAATTAAAATACTGTGATGCAGTTAATTTGCAACATAAGTAATGTAGTAAAATTAACGGGATTAACAGGGGAACATTGACTCTAAGTTTATGGTAAAACTGCCCAGTTCTAAGATTACAGGCATCAATGACTCCAAAACTGTTATCACAAAACTTTGTTGGCCCAATAATAGAGCTTTTTGATCTAAAAAAAGCACACTGTTCTCATTTGCCAGTAGGTGTAACTGCTAGTACATTTTTCAGAATTACTTCTTTTCCACAAAGCTTATAAAATTCCTTAAATACTTTCCATATCATGCTAGCTGCAGTTTAAACCTGTTCATACATAGATACAGACAAGTCTGTATTACTTACAGGTATACATGGCTATGCATTCACACAGACATACATTCCTTCACTGTTACAAACTGTCATGGTCTGTGGTCTCAAAACCAGCCTCTTTCAGTATGAAGTCACTGACTCCAGCTGCAATGAAGCTGAAAGATATCCTTATGTTGACTGGTACAGAGTATTTACTCCTGTAAAATGAGCAAGGAGGTATTACAGGACCAGTTGGAGGAACCAGCATTTTAAGATCATTTTTCTTTCCAAATTGTAGCTTGTATATTTCTCATTTTGTAGAGGTCATGATTATGAACTTTATCTAGTAAAGTCATTCACCACTACACAGCTTTGTAATCAGGCAAAGATATAAGGAATGTGTGCTCTTTAAAAAAAAAACTTCAAAGACTTTTAAGTACTTGTGTGCAAACACAACATCCTTAGAGCTTATTTAAAAGCATACATTTCCTTAGAAAAAGAAACATTTCAAAGATGAGAAAAAATAAAACATTTGACATAGTTAAGGTCTGAAAATATGAAAAAAAAGTATTAAGAACAAAGGCACAAACTGCTTTCAGCCTAAACCAAGAGACAGAATTCTTTATACGTTAATGGTACAGAAAACTTCAAGACTTTCCATTCCACTCTCAAATATAAACTCCTAAAGTTCAGGTTTGGATTGGCATTGCTAAAGTTTAGGTTAAGCCGAGAAGTCTGGTTTGTATAGATGAAAATTACCTGGGATTTATGCTGACTGCTTCTGAAGTTCAGGGTGTTTCATCCTGGTGAAAACAAATGGTTTAGTCTTATAAGATGCATATTCAGAGTAATAGGTTGTTTTTGAAGATTATGGCCATAGCAAATATATTTCTAAACAACAGACTCGTGTGATTTCAAGGACCACATGTTAAGGAGACAGAGCACCTACAAAAGTGCCAGACAAATATGCAGCACTAAGGCTTCACTTTGGGATTTTTGTTATGGTATTGCAAATACTATATTCTTTCAGTGCAGTCAATTTCCCCTTTCTTCCTACATTTAATAAATTTTTTAAGTGAAGACATTGAAAAATATTTAAGAGAGCAGAGAAAAGCTATTGGTAGCTGCAAAGCTTGCTGAATATGGAGAAATCTTTTGCTATTTTTTGCACCAGAAAGCAATTACGGTCAAAATGACAAAGTCAAAACTGTTCATGTTTTGGGGGGAAAGGGAGGTGTTCAGCTTTTTAACCTGCTTACATTGTATCTCATGCATGTTCAGCAGCAGGACATACAAAAATTTATATATTAATTCTGGTTTCCCTGCAATGGTTTCTGCATAATAAAAATCTGCAAGATCACTTTTGGTCAGCCCTGAAGTGAGCAGGCAGTTGGACTTCATGATCATTGTAACTCCCTTCCAACTGAAATATTCTATTCCATTACATTCTATTATCTTTAACTGCTTGGATTCAATTCATTTTTTTTCATTTTTGCATGATCTGGGTAAGGCATAACTGAGCATTCAAATGCCCTATGTCCCATGTAGCTTTCATAATACAAGAATTTCAAGACAGCAGCTATAACTTGATTATATATATATTATATATATATTATATATATAAATCATATCAAAGAAAAATATATCACTATGCACTAAGTAAGGGGGAAATATCACAGAATCAGCTAATTGTACCCAAGTTATTCAAAATTCCACTTTTCACATAACAGACGTAGTAAGATACTATATGACACAGAAACCTGTCTCACTTTTTTTTCCCTCCTCAAAGCACTGAATGCTACCAGATAAAATTCACTGTGCAATAAAGCAAGTCTGAAAATTTAATATATCCAGATATCATTCAGGGAAGAATTTGTTAGGACTATTTAAGAGTTGCACGGTTTAGAAGTGCATTATGATTCAATTAATAGCCTCCAGATAGAAAAGAATAATAGAAAGGCTTGGGTTGGAAGGGACTCTATAGATAATCCAGCTCCAAGCCACTCCCAAGGGCAAAGGTGCCACTCACTAGATCAGGTTGCTCATCCAACCTGGCCTTGAACACTTCCAGGCATGGGAAAGAAGCTTTAATTACTTCCATAAGAGGCAATAAATAATCTAGAATCAGCAGGAATGTTTGTGTACATTTACAACATTTTTAAAACTATGCTAAAAATACTAAATCTAATCTGAACAAAGGCCTAGTTAAAATGCTGAGCTTTACATCCCCAAAACAATTATGAACTATGTTATATTAAAGATTACTTTTCACCTACAAATCCTCCATTTTTTACCAAAATCTCCAAACTGACACTTCTGAACCATTTTCCATGACATATAATGGAATAATCCATAGTCATTTGTTCTGGCATGAAACAGTACAGATTAAACAAAATCAGATTGTACAAAATTTTAAGAAAATGCTGTAAAGGAGTGCTGTGTGTACACAATATTTATATGCGCACAGAGCACGGCAGAATTAGAATTTCTTACTGCATTATAGATAACTTAATACGCATACAAACAGGAAAAATGGCTTCTTCAGGGAAGTACCCAACTTATTCAAGTTTTGTAAGGAAACGCTGCATTTTTACCTCCATCCACCCTGCATGGATGTTTCACATCTCAGTTCAGATTCAGCCTTAATAATGAGGCTATTTTGCTGAAGAAGATGCAACATTAAAATAGCTGTACATTGTCTAAATTGTTCACAGAAGCACAGTACTTGCAGTACGCAACCTTCACTGTGTATGAACCTTTTATAAGAGAAGACAAGCATTCCAGAAGCAAACTATATGGTTTATCCTATGAAAGGAGACATTTCAATCTCCTGACACTTAGGGCTGTCATTGGCTTGTGTTGATGCACTATTTTTTGACACAGAGCATTACTCAAGTACTTGGTTTCAACACATATCTGCTGAGGAGGCAGAAGCAGAAGAAACATGGGGCGTAAATGAGCCTGAGTCTCCATGAGTACAAGTTGACCCAGCATGTGAATGGTTCAGGCGCACAGTTGGGCAGCTTTCCCACTTTGATCATACACAGCTGAGTCCACATCTGGCCAAAGCCACACCATCTCCTTGTCCCTTTATCAATCTTTCAAAAAATACATTTGGGAGTTGTTAGCCCAGAAAGTTAAAATGTTTCATCTCATCTTGGTGCTGATTCACATAACAATATAGCGGTGATTCTCAATTCTGTCCCTGAACAAACAATACCACTGGACTTTTTTGGCATAATCCCTAAAAGCCTTCTGAGACATGCAATATCGACATGTACTGAAAGAACTTCTCTAACACTTCACAAAACAGCAGAGGCTTTGCTTGTCCTAGTAAAGATACCAGAAACATCACCATCTCAAATCTATTTAATGCAGAGTTCCTCATAGGGTACTTGAACATAGGTTGCAAATTAAGGACCAAGGTATTTCAGGTCGAAGTCTGCATAGCATTATACTGAGAGGTATGTACACATTATGAATATACTTCTTTCAATTCTGGACTGAAAACCTAATAAGAGCAGAGGCAGAGTTTTAGTGCTTTTCCTGTTTCCAGTGAGTTAAAAATCAACCCACAGATATCCCTGAAATTAAAATGTTATTTTCTGCTCTAACTGGACAGACACGCACATTACTGAAATAAGTACAAAGACACAACACAGATGGTGGTGTCTTTTTCAAAAAGCACACAAGGCATTTGTAAGTGCTGACACTCAATTACTTCTCATTTCTAGAAATACTCATCTATCTGACTAGAAGTTCCTAGCAGCCCTGTATAAGGAAGCTCATAGTTAGGCTATCAGCACCAGAATCACAAACAGGATAATTAGAGGAATCCCAGCCTGCCAGTGTTAACCTCCCTGAAAATTAAATATCAATTCACATTAACTAAGGAAATTCAAGAGATGGCTCTATTTAGAAAAAAACCCCATAATTTTGTATCTGTCAGATCATTAACACTGCATTTATCAATAACACTTCAAAACCTGCGAATACCTCACGGTTCTAAGCTACGATTTTCATTCAATGTAAGTTATTTTATTTAGGGTCTTGGTAAAGCATAGAATGGCAATGATATTTTTAAAGACAAATACAAATGAGATGTTAGAATACTGACTCTTGAATCCCAGAAAATCTAATGAATTTTCAGTGCCTAATAAATACATAAATATAGACATTTTTTGCAACCACACACTCTCAGAGACATTGTCTAGCCCAAATGGATTTTGATGACAGAGCATTTCAGATGTCTGTATGGTACACAGCTAGTTTCACATAATAATACCAAATCTAACCTAGATACAAGAAGCAGTGTAGTCTGAGCTCATTATCCTGAGAAATGAACCCATTCAGAACTGAAAGTAGTCATCAGGGCATAAGATTGTGCCATGCGGATGTAACCTTAGCTGTGATCAGGAACAATACATTGAAATAAATCAACATAAAGCTTTTCACATACTAATGTATTCTAAAAATACCCCAAAACCTCTGCTTCATTTTTCTGCCAATATTTATAGTTGCCTACGATGTTTACACAATACTTTTTAAGCCTCAAAAATGGTATTTCCTAGCTGGGATACACAGTTCCACCTAATTTTTTTTTTTCTAATTTTTCATTTGTCAAGAAATTAAATCCTCAATGATGAAGCAATTTGGTGTTTCCACCCCTTCAATATTTTCAGTTTAACCAGAAGCCTGAAAAATTTATCCCTCCTACAGCTCTCTTCACAAGGATACATTAGGAGCTGAGATGCCATGTTTGACTGCATTGCAACTGTTTAATCCATTCCACCTGACACAGCTGTGGCAATTCCCTTTCTTGTTCAGTGTCATAAGCCCCTTCCCTCTTACCCAAGTGCTCAAGTAGGTATTGGAGTCCACCAGAGCTAACAGCTCTAGGGTATAGCAACTGAGGCTCTTCAGCACCTCTTACCATTACATAACAACAATGAATAGTCATGATATGTTTTCCTGTTACCTACAAAACCGAAGCCCTGGTGCTACGTCTGTATGCTGCCACGAGACCTGCATGCTAGTCCCCTGAAACCAGCGGAGAGCAATACACACTTAAGCTATCTCTCTGCTCTGTAGCTGGAGGCTTAGATTTCACAAGGCTGTTCTACAGAAGATGGCTAGAAAATGAAACTATCAGCTGACTGGGTTACTGTGTCAGGTATCCATAAAACCAAAATCACATTCAGCAGAAGAGGGAAATACAGGGATATATGCCTTTTCTCTTAGGACTCCTTAAATGCAGAAAAGTTTGGATAGATCAAAGTTTTCCATTTACAAAAATTTCATTTGATCCAAAACTAAGTCCTATGGAAGAAAGAGACAGGAATATATAATAAGAGTTTGGAAATTCTACTTTGCTATAAATCACAGCTAAAATCATCAGCAAATGCAGGTAAAAGGTATGAAACCAGTAATAAACAAGTTTCATTTTGCTTTGATAAATCCTAAAAAGCTAAAGATATTTCCTTTTTCCTTTTGGTGACTATATATTCATATATGGCTTACTGTAATCTGAAATAACAGAAAAATGTATTTGTCTTACATACAGACTCCTTTTTAGTCCTTAGCCATACAGATTGGGCGTGTTTGCCTGCCAGGAATTTTTCTTGTGGCATTACTTTGAATTTAACTGCCTGAACTGACAGAAACTCCTCGAGCAGGAAGAGAAAATTGGACATTTCCTATAAATTTAATTTTCAGCCTATAACCCTCGCTTACCTAATGAATGCATTTTTTTTTCTAGAAACTAAAGCCACGGTGGTTTATTTTACTTGTATTTAATTGAGTT